AATAATAATAATAATAATAATAAATAATAATAATAATAAATAATAATAATAGCAAATAATAATAACACTAAAAACTAACAATAACTAACAATAACAAAAATAACACAATAACACTGGAGATATTAAGTATTTTATTTCTACATGATAATATTGACGATAATAAAAAGTTCTTACACATATTATTAAGGTTAGATATTGTTCAGGTGAATGTCATGGGCAGACAGGTGAGATTAGAGGTGACCCACTTGTCATGGGTACTATTGGCTCTCTGTCCACCTGGGTACGCTCTTAGATAGATAAACAGATAGATAGATTGAACACATACAGACTCAAACATAGACGCAGACAAACAGACATACAGACAAACAGATTCAAAAGACATAAACAGAATTGAGTGACTATTTATATCGCCACTATCCATCATTGACCTCTTTCCTCTCAAGGCCATGACGTCACCTGACCTTCCATGACCTGGAAGTAATTAGGGGGTCACGGTTACCTTCTTAGAGTAGTGACGTCACGAAGAAGCCGAACAGGAGCGACTTTGGGGATGATGAAGACGGGGGAGAGAGAGAGAGAGAGAGAGAGAGAGAGAGAGAGAGAGAGAGTCTATTCAATCAGATAAAAGGACATTGTTTGGGTAGGTCTCTCTCTCTCTCTCTCTCTCTCTCTCTCTATGGGGTTTTTCAGGAGGGAGTGGTTGGGTTTGGGTCAGGTAGGGTGGATGGGTGTGTCAGGGGGTGCATGGGTGTGTCAGTGGGTGCATGGGTAGGTGGATGGGTGTGATGGGTGTGTCAGGGGGTGCATGGGTGTCAGGGTCAGGGTGGGTGTGTCAGTGCATGGGTGTGTCAGTGGGTGCAGGGTGGGTGGTTGGGTTTGGGTCAGTGGGTGGATGGGTGTGTCAGGGGGAAGGGAAGATGGCTGGGTAAATAAACCTTCCTTACCTGACTTTCCTTGGCTTGCGGAAGTGACGTTTTGTTGTTGTCAGGTAAGAGTGGGGAGACAAGTGTAGGCTGGGGAGGAGAGAGAGGTGTAGGCTGGGGAGGGGAGACAAGTGTAGGGTGTGGGCTGGGGAGGAGAGAGGTGTAGGCTGGGGAGGGGGCAGAAGTGTGGGGTGTGGGGTGGGGAGGGGGAGACAGGTGTAGGGCTGGGGAGGGAGAAAGTGTAGGGTGGGGAGGGAGAGGTGTAGGCTGGGGAGGGGGAGAAAGGTGTAGGGTGGGGAGGGAGAGGTAGGGGGGTGGGGAGGGAGAGAGGGAGTGTGGGTGGGGAGGGTGGGGAGGGAGTGTGTGGGGTGGGGAGGAGAGAAAGGGGGAGCAGGTGTGGCAAGGTGGGGGGAGGGTAACAGGTAGGTAAGTGCTTAAACTATCTCACTAGGAACGAACACGTAGTAATCTGGTTTTGAATTCGATTTAGGATTGCATTGGGGTCAACATCTGGTGAGGTTAGGTTAGGTTGGGTTAATTGCAGGTTTAGATGAATGTACGAGTGGTAATGGATAGGCGATACGATAGGATAGGTGTACTCAAGGTGTACTCCTCCTAATTACTGTTCCCGAGCCAGGTAGCGAGGGAGGAAGAGTAATGTTTGGTCCTAGTGCCGTGGGAATTGACCTCCTCCTCCTCCCCCCTTCTTCCTCCTTCCCCTCCTCCTCCCCCCTCCCCCTTCTTCCTCCTTCCCCTCCTCCTCTTCCTCCTCCTCCTCCTCCTCTCCTTCCTCCTCCCCTTCTTCCTCCTTCCCCTCCTCCTCCCCTTCTTCCTCTTCCTTCCTCCTTCCCCCCTTCCTCCTTCCTCCTCCTCCTCCCCTCCTTCTTCCTCTTCCCTCCTCCTTCCTCCCTCCTCCCCTCCCCCAACCCCTCCTCTTCCAAGGTTAGGGTGGGGGGATTATAGACATTTCCTGATTATACTGAATGGCCTTGTGAGGTGAGAAGAGTGACACCGGGGAGGGTGGTTGGGGGTGTGTGTGGGGGAGGGTGGGGGTTGTGTGTGTGGGGGGGAGGTGGGTGGGGGGTGGTTGGGGTGTGTGTGGTGGGGAGGGTTGGGGTGTGGGGAGGGTGGTTGGGGTGTGTGTTGTGTGTGTGTACGTACAAGATAAACGATATATATATTTAGAAGGAAAGTTGAAAAAGAGGTTAACAAATGAATAGGGCTTCACCAAGACCTGGGACACACACACACACACACACACACACACACACACATACATGGGCTGTCTATCAAAATGGAGTCGGTAGGGCCCCGTTACTCTACTGTAAGGGTCTAAATAGAGACATCGAAGCCTTGTCCTCGTGATGGAAGCGATGGTTTACTGCCCACAATACCAAGAGAGAGAGAGAGAGAATTACTCACCACATAAAGACCAGTCTCTCTCTCTCTCTCTCTCTCTCTCTGGCTAGGGAGGGACGTGGTGTGGGTGGATTGTGATTGGCTAAGAGCGGCTGATATTACGTCACCATTACGTCACCACTTATCACTATGTTGGAGCGGCAGTCTTCCTGCGTCATCGTTAAGGTTGTGTTGTCATTGTGTCCGAGGGTCACAGGAACACTCACCGATGACTTCATTTCCGGTGAGTCAAGCATGGTCACTCACTCAGTCACTCACTCACACCATAGCCCCGGCCATATCGTACATCCAAGCCAACACTTACGCCCCACACCTCACCCCTCATGCCCACACCTCACACCACACCTCACGCCCACACCCCACGCCCACACCCACACCCCCACACCTCACCTCACACACCACACCTCACGCCCATGTCCACACCCAGTACTTATAGTCATGGGTGGCCGCGTTTGAGTAATGGCTTTCATACTGTGGCGAGTGACTGATGCCTGTGATAGATAGATAGATGGTTGGATAGATAGATAGATAGTTGTAGATAGATAGACAGACAGACACAGATATTTAACCCGCGGGATAGACATTGTATTTGACTATTGTGAAAGGTTACCGCTGCTCGAAACGCTTCACACACACACACACTTGAGAAACAATTGAATACACATGCGATGCCATTTTAGTGTGGCAATGAGTTTATGTTTTGTCTGTGGCGGTCAATGATGCTGTTAAAAGCAATATTTATTTTATTTCTTATGTAAGAGCCATATTTACCAGACAATAGTGTTTTGGGGGCTAATTAGTGTGTGTGTGAGATAATAATAATAATTAACGCTTTATTGAAAGAGCATGGCTGTTGGAAGGCTGAAAATATACAGTTACATAATTTGGGAATGGATCTCTTGATTGACAAATAATATACAAGTAACATAAGTGATACAAATATGACATATAATAACTAGGTGGGGAGAAGGTCATACTACAGGGCATTTCAACATAGTGACAGTGCAAAAGTAAGATTGACGGGGAGTGAACACACTGGTTTATTACAAGTTATTGATAATTTTTACAATGGTTGGGACTGGGCTGTTCTTATAGGATTTGTGTTTTGGTGTTATGTAATGTGGGGAAATTTTAACTTATAGTACGACCCTTTGAAAATCTATCTTTATATACCCGGCTTCCTATAATTGTCTGTCTGCCTGTCAAAATCTCCCTTAGGTTCCTTGGTGAATTATGATGATCAATGGAGGAGAGGAGGGGATAGTGTGTGGGGGAGAGGTGTGGGCGTTCTGGGGACAGTGTGGGCGTGGTGGAGGGGGGGGGGTTATATAGGTTGTTGAAGGTCAGGACAGTATTTGTTACCACACACACACACCTCTGTTGACGTTATTTGAAGACAATGTGACTGTTTGTGGCATGCTGCGTGCACGTGTGTGTGTGTGTGTGTGTGTGTTTTTCATTACCACAGTTACCAGTTCCCACACAAGGCCACGTCTGCACCTCTCAGGAGTGGCTGTGTTGTGGCCTCTCTCCTCTCCCCCGCCCCCAGACGAGTAAAGATGATTTTTAGATTAGATTACCTCCGAGGGGGGCTAGTTTATTGGGCACCCCCTTACATCCTGTGCAAGGTGAAGCGTTTACAGCGCCCATCTGGGAAGCATGCGGAGTTCATGCGTGCCTTTATGACTCATGCATTAAGGGCGTAAAAGCCTGAAGGTTCACGGGTTTTGTCAGCAAGCTACATAAAGTGATAGAATGATGAGTGTGTGGGGGTAAAATTCCTTGTATAATTTATCTGTTTATGGTAAAGTGTGGCAGGTCCCTAAGAATGCCGGTGCATGAGTTGAGGACAAGAGATCATTAACGTGTGACCTAACATAGCACCCTTGACCTAACCTAACCTAACATAGCAGTTGTGGGAGTGAGGGGCCCTAACAAATCATGTCTCTATATCCTGTATTAAGTATCATGACATCATGCTCGCTAGCCAATCACAGCCTGGCTACCGAACGGTCCATAGGCGTATATCTAGCATTATATTTGGCCTTGGGGGAAGATAGTTATATGCAACAAAGGAAGGTTTGACGCGCAGTTGAATTCGGCGGAAGTGTGTGTGTCATTATTTATAAAGTATTGCATTTTTTCTTTTATTTTTATCCTGATATATATGTGGGGGGGGGTAGGGTATGTAAATCAACACCAACGACAGCATCTGATTGGTAGGCTCTTTAACCAATGGGAGGTGCGAATCAGACACCAGACAACACAAACAAACAAACATCAACTGACACAAACAAACATCAACTGACACAAACAAACATCAACTGACACAAACAAACATCAACTGACACAAACAAACATCAACTGACACAAACAAACATCAACTGACACAAACAAACATCAACTGACACAAACAAACATCAACTGACACAAACAAACATCAACTGACACAAACAAACACCATCAAAGTTAGGTTTAAAGAATGTTTGTTTAGGCATCAATACTGTACAACAAAAGGGAATATTTGAGAAAGTTCCTCACAACACGGTACTACAGAACAGAGTCCGTCTTATGTTGTAATGAATTGAATATAATGTGTGTATCTACGGTACTGTTTGTGTGTCTTATATATGAAAGATAATGGTTTTATTTTGGCAGGTCTCTGGTCAAGATGAAGGTGGTACGTGCGTGTGGTATGGACAGTGTGGCCAGAACCCAGACGCTAGCGGTGGTCATATGGCCAACTGCCCGTACACAGGGCCCCCCAAGCCCATGGACCCCATTACCCAGGGCAAACTTGCCTCCCTGTGCCCAGAGTTCGTCGCTGCCATCAGTAAGTACAGCTCACACGTTTAAATCTCCAAACAATTTTAGAATCCAGTATTTCATTATCACTTTCGTAATTTTTCCTTGATACCATCTACCATAGTGTTTAGGCTGGTGACCTGGTGCGCACCACATCTGGGGTTACCTTTGTGACACTGGTGTGGTGTGTCATAATTTAATTCTTCCGTTATCATGTGTGTTTAAGAGTCTGTTAAGTACTCAAAAAGAATTTTCTTTTTGTTAATTTCAAACTCCCATATTGATGAATATATATACTATATACACTATGTACTGTATTTGTGTTTAAACAGTACTGTACTATGTTGTTGGTGTTGTGACAGTAGAGTACAGTATTGATGTCTTACAGCTCCATCTGATCCAGCTGCCAATATTAGCACTTGCTGTGACCCAGATCAGGTCACTACATTGAACCAGCAGATGGCTACGGGGCTGGGCCTTCTCCAGCGATGTCCATCCTGCGTGAGGAATTTCCGTCAGCTATTCTGTCACATGACATGTAGCCCTCACCAGAATGACTTTATGTTTGCCAAAGTAATAAAAAATGCTACTGACACAAGTAAGTGAACTTTGTGTTAATACTCTGTACAGTTTTGGGGCAGATTTACTAGGGTTGTGCCACTGATGTAGCTCCTGTACTGTACTGTATATGATGTAAGATGAACAAGAGGTTTGGATGGATGATGGCATGGAGGAATATTCACTTCTCTAGTACGGTACTGTGTGAAGGTGAGACTTAAGAGTGTCAGAGTAGTGATAGGTCAAGAAATAGACAGTTTATAATGAATTTTGGGAGTTAAGAGAATTGATAAGATTAAGGTATGATGATGGAAGAAGAATGGTTAGTGTGGAAAAGTCTTTGGAGATTCCAATAAATGAGAGCGCACTAAGATGACATAGACATGTGGAGTGCAAGGCAGGTGAGAGCTGGCATAGGTACACTTTCACCTGGTACAGTTAGCATTACCAGTCCTCTCTCTCCATGATTTGTGAACCCAGAGAGTATCAAAGGATTATTCTAAAGCACTTATTGATGGTTAATGAAGTTGAAGTGAGTGTACCCTGTACCCTGTCACCCCCTCACACACAGGCATCGTCATCCCCCAGACTCCCTCTCACTCATGAGCTCCTTGGAATCATGCTTCAGTACTCTCTGGGTTCACACATCATGGAGAGAGAGGACTGTCAATGCTAACTGTACCAGGTGGTAGTGTGGGCAACTGTACATGGAGTGCACGGCAGATGAGACATTAGATTATATTTATGACAATAACTAATGACATGAGAGAGAAAATGACTTAAGAAAAAGATGATTGGTTGGGAAAACAGTATTTATGTGATACCAGCTGTAGAGGTATAGTTTAGTGCAATGGTCGTGATGAACAAACAAGTTTAAATATAACTGTGTACTTCTTCTGTAAATATCTGTTGGTACAGTATTGAGAAAAATATTTGTGCCTACTGTATTGTGTGATGAAATTTTTATTTATAATGCTTCCACATGTGTATAATGAGTTTATGATAAGCTTACTGTGTATGTGAACAGAAGTACAGTACAGTAGGGTACAGTTCAGTACAGTACAGTATTACTAAGAAACAACTACAGCATCACAGACAGAACTTTAACCCTTTAGGGACTCAATAAGATATCACAGTGGTTCCCAAAAAGTTTGATTTATTCATCAAATAATGAAGAGCTAACTTCATTTCATTTTTATTTATTTATTTTATTTAATTTGCATTTGCCAAGTTGACATGACAATGAAGTTTTTGTAGCTGATATTAAAACTGCACCCAACATCCATATGGTGTCTAGGGGTGTTGATGTTTCTATGGTTACCAGCAGCCACCAACACGTGACAGCAACATGAGTGCCCCTTTCAAAATTCCAGGACTATAGTAGAATAAGATTCCCAGGTCTAAAAGATTTTATGCGGCCGTGGATTAAAGCCGAATAAAGTCCCAAGGGACAAAAACCTGCTGTTTGACTTTTGTTGCATTAAGTTCCTAAAGGGTTAACTCTTATATGTATTAGCTCAGGTTTGCCTTTTTTGAAGTATAAATGGAACTTGATGAAATTTTACATTTATTGTAAATGATAAATTGAAACTCAGGATGAAATTTTTCCCTGAATAAAATTGACATGATATTATTTTGCATTATTATTACTGGTGTATGATTAGGGATTAGTCTGATGGATGCACCTTTACTGCTGTATGATTAGTCTTATGGATGCACCTTATCCCAGCATCAGCTGTTCAATTATCAATACAGTATATGATGAAAATATTTATTTATTTTAATTTTATTTTTTTGCAGAAAAGCCAGTCATCACCACACTGGCAGTACATGTCACTGAAGAATTTGTAGATGGAGTGTACACTTCCTGTAAGGATGTTGCCATGCCATCGGCCAATGAGAAAGCAATGTCTATAATGTGCGGAAAGTGGGGGACATACTACTGCACAGGAGAACGCTGGTTTAACTTCATGGGATCGGTGGCCAATTCCTTTGCACCATTTCAGATTGATTATATCTACAAAGAAAGTACAAACACAACATTTAAACCATTTAATGAGACTATCACTCCTTGTAGTGCTGCCATATCTGTGAGTATCATACATTCTACTTTTTACCACTTAAAGGTTGTTTTGTTGTGTTGAGTCGGGTGGGCAAGGTATGGCTCGCAGGCCAAATTTGGGGCTCAAATTATTCCTATGGCCCGCCATTGCATTAGCGAAAGGGAAAAATATATGTTTAATCTTATAAAGGATCACTGTTATGTGGGAATTGGGTACCTCTAGCTGCAAGACTGGCACATCACTTGTTGACCTGGCCTTGGGAGGTATGTAAACCCTTGCCTGAGAAACCCATTCTTGACTTATGACAGGGACAGCCACACCTCAATAATGTGCTCATTGACCTGGGTGTCCAGCACTTGTATTTGCAGACATAACTTATTAAGATAATTGTGCACTTTAAGGCTCCAGGCTTTTAGGTAATAATTACAAATACAGTACTGATATTTTTAAATTAATGGGAAGGTCTGCTTTGAGGTATATACTGTAGATTTATATATTTTAATCGATCATTTGAACCCATTCCTGTCCATTTGTTTTATAAATTCTGCTGGAAGCTGATTAGCCCCACAGGCTCTCTTTATCATTTTTAATTTTGCTCACAGCTGCATCACCTTCAGATTCCATAATTGGTAGTTCGATCTTTATTTCTTTTTCATTCCTTACCTCCACACTATCCTTAGCATTGTACATGTATAGTTCTTCTACGTACTCTGCCCATCTCTCTTTTACTTCTGCTTCAAACAGGATTTTAATGTCTTTTAATAGTCTCACCCTATTTACTTCCTTTTTTGTTTTCATTTGTTTAATCTTTCTGTACATTTCCCTACAGTTATGCCTTCTGTCACCATCTACTGTCTCCTTGCATTTCCTTTCTAAAAGTCTTGCCTGATCTGTCTACATTTTTTTAAATTTCTTCTCTTTTTTTTTTTTGTAACCCTCACTTCCTTTTATCATCGTTCTCTGTCTTATCTACCGTATTTTCTTTAAAATTTTATTTGTTATCCACTCGCCTTTAGCCTCGTTTCTCCTATGGCTTATAACTTTTCCCCAGCCTCTAACAGTACTTCTTAGTACTGTACAGTAATTATTAAGGTGTTGTCCTGGTCCTTGTTCATCAAAGTCACCCTCTAGAAATACTGAAAATCAATTATTTTTTTTCATTTTCATATACAGTATATCCCTGCCCCTGTTTTGGGCTTCCCTAAATACCAAATTATTTATCCATTGTTTTTGTTTTATTTTTTTAAGTTTTGCTTCACGAAACTCATTACTGGGATGTGATCTGATCCACAGTCAACCTCTTGATAGGTCTTGGTTTGGGCTATGGAATTTCTGAATCTGTTCTGAATTAAAATTTAAGCTATTTGATTCTTGGAAATGCTATCTATATTGTGCTGGGGTAAGATCCATGTATAGAGATGCCTAGGGTGTTGTCAAACCATATACAGTACTGTACGTATTTGCAATTACTGTATTATCTTTTACGGGGATTAGCCCACCCGGGCACAGGTCACTGACCCATATCAGGGCATGGGGGCAAAAATATAATAATAATAATAATGATAATAATAATTTATATTATTATTATCATTACAGCAATTAATAAAATTAATAGCAAATTACTGTATTAATAATAAGAATAAAATAATAATAATAATAATAATAATAATAATAATAATAATAATAATATTAACCATAAATAAATACAAAATGAAATAAATCGAGTGAGAAACAATATACATTATGTATGTTGTGTTGTTCAAGTAAGAGAAACAATTGAGACCCTGCAATTGTGTGTAAATGAGGCAGAAAGTCAGTTCACCAACCTGGGACTTGGTCACAATTTTTGTGATGCCATATGGCAGCAGGGTCTACCATTAGACAACACATTATGCTTCCAATATCTTCCCAGGCAGTAGTACCTCCCTGTTTGGTAGCTGCCTACTACCTACTACCTTTTCATTATAAAAGTTGATTAATATTTCTCCTCTCTCATTTCTATTACCCAACCCATGTGGTCCTCCTCCTCCTTTCCCTTTCCCAACTTTATGGTGTCTTTAGCTTTCTTGAAATCTTCATCAAATTTTTCTAAGACTTCATCCTCGCTATCATTTCTTGATGTACTGTATATACCTGTATTATATATCTGTATTATTACCAAGCCCATGGGTTTAGCATCGAACTTGACTAACAAAACTATATCTGACACTGCCCAATATCCCTTTACACCACTATTGCTCAACTTCTGGTTTACAAGAATACCACCGCCTCTCTCAAGCATTTGACCACTAATATTATTTAAACCTGTCCAAGGTGTCCATCTTACTTCATTTAATCCCAGAATGTCCCACTGTAATCTTTTCATTTCCTACAAACTGTTGCATATACAGTACTTACCACCCTCATATAATGTCCTCTCATTCCATGTTCCAATCTTGATTTTGTGCTTGTTCATTCTGAATCTTTCCATCATGTTTAACGTCCAAGGCTAGCTCTCAGTGGCACACTGCCCGCAAGCACAGGAGGCAATGTGGTTGAACCTTTAAGTGACAATGATTCAACAGGAATGCCCCAAAATCATTATTGTGTCTGTAAATGGATGTTCAAGGGCAAGAGATGAAGTTAATGAGAATGGATTCCCCAAACCTGTTCTCATCAGAAGATTAATGAAAGCAAGTAGAAAAAGTTGGGAAGTTTTATATGTTGGAGTTTAATAAAAATTTTCTTCATATTCTGAATATTATTTTATTAGTTATTCATTCGTCTGTTTTATGTGTTGTCGTGTTTATTTGATGAACTTCTTGTATTTAGCTATTGAGCCTTAAGCTGACAAGTGTAATTACCTACTTACAGTAATGTTGTTGTTTTGTAATGTTGTTTTTGTCATCATCATTTCCTTTCACTCGCGTTGCACAGAATGACTCCCGAGCCTGCAGCTGTTTGGACTGTGAAGCCTCGTGCCCCCAGCCGTCCCCTCTCCCCCCACTACCACAGCCCTTCACTATATATGGGGTTGACGGGCTAGAGGTGGTCATGGCGCTGGTGTTCTTGCTCATCACGTCAACGTTTCTCACTATTTACGTGTGTCATTCGTGTCGCTCTCAGAGTATTGATAGTAAGTGGGAAATGTCCTCTCCTGGTTCTCTGCTGTTGTCATATTTTTAATGTTTCTTTGTTTAAATTCCTCTTATTTTTAATGTTTCTTTGTTTAAATTCTTCTTATTTTTAATGTTTCTTTGTTTAAATTCTTCTTATTTTTAATGTTTCTTTGTTTAAATTCTTCTTATTTTTAATGTTTCTTTGTTTAAATTCTTCTTATTTTTAATGTTTCTTTGTTTAATTTCTTCTTATTTTTAATGTTTCTTTGTTTAAATTCTTCTTATTTTTAATGTTTCTTTGTTTAAATTCTTCTTATTTTTAATGTTTCTTTGTTTAAATTCTTCTTATTTTTAATGTTTCTTTGTTTAAATTCTTCTTATTTTTAATGTTTCTTTGTTTAAATTCTTCTTATTTTTAATGTTTCTTTGTTTAAATTCTTCTTATTTTTAATGTTTCTTTGTTTAAATTCTTCTTATTTTTAATGTTTCTTTGTTTAAATTCCTCTTATTTAATGTTTCTTTGTTTAAATTCTTCTTTGCTGTTTCATGTCCTTTACTGAAATTCTCCCATTGGATTATTCTTTATATGTGAGTTTTCTTAATAGAGAAAGGTTTCCATCACTAGTTTGTGTTGGTAAGGCGCTAGTATATAGGACAAACACTAGATAGGTACTTATTGGTGTCGGGAAAAAGAGACAGCAGATCATACATATTCAGGGAAAAAGAGACAGCAGATCATACATATTCAGGGAAAAAGAGACAGCAGATCATACATATTCAGGGAAAAAGAGACAGCAGATCATACATATTCAGGGAAAAAGAGACAGCAGATCATACATATTCAGGGAAAAAGAGACAGCAGATCATACATATTCAGGGAAAAAGAGACAGCAGATCATACATATTCAAGGAGTAGAGCTGCATGTATTGTGTATGCTGTATATATCAACATCAGTAAAAACTCTAAACTTACTGTATATTTCAACCATATTATTACCCCACTAAATCCTCCTGAATATGTAAGAATATAAAGTGAGGGTAAGGTTCCTCTGTCATGCAAATTAGGCTGACTTAAACTGAGGTGGCCATGGCCTCGTGCTATCATTATGGCCATAAGGGAAACCCAAATCCTTGGCCATGGGAGAATCCTGAATCCTTGTGGCCTAACTCTCATATTTAAGATTTATTTCCTATGACTTATATCGAACTGTCCTGACTGAACACGTTATTGATCTCTCAGTTTCAATCGATACCCCTACTGGACCATCGTGGGCCGAGGAGCCGAGCTGTTTAGAGAGAGCCGGGTCCTGGATAGACGACGCTTTGCAAAAATTCTTCACAGCTTGGGGTACAGGTAAGAGTCCATGTGTGTTGCTGTATTAACCTGCATGTTTTTGTTTTGTTTTTCCTTGAGTACGATGAGCCTTTCTCTTGAGGCATATGTACTCAAAAGAAAGTTAAGTTGCTGTACTGAAGGTGTTAATTCATCATTCTTAAGGAGTTAATTCATTGTACTCAAGGGGTTGCACCATCATGCTCAAGGGGTTAAGTCGTCATACTAAAGGGGTTAAGTCATCATACTCAAGGGGTTAAGTCATCATACTCAAGGGGTTAAGTCATCATACTCAAGGGGTTAAATCATGTGGTTTGTTATAATTTTATCTTGACCTTGTTGCCTATCATACACTCCTACTCTCCCCTCTTATCCCTCTCACTGTTATACACCACCACTCCCCTATTATCCCTCTCACTGTTATACACCACCACTCCCCTATTATCCCTCTCACTGTTATACACCACCACTCCCCTATTATCCCTCTCACTGTTATACACCACCACTCCCCTCTTATCCCTCTCACTGTTATACACCACCACTCCCCTATTATCCCTCTCACTGTTATACACCACCACTCCCCTATTATCCCTCTCACTGTTATACACCACCACTCCCCTATTATCCCTCTCACTGTTATACACCACCACTCCCCTATTATGTCTCTCAGTAAGGTTTCTCAATCCCTTGGTTCATCTCAAATAAAAGGAGATATGAAGTAAAGAGGATAATGTAATAATCTTGGTTCCTTCCTCCTCCAGTTTGTGCCGAACACCCCTGGACTGTGCTAATAGTGGGACTTCTGGTATCAGTCGGCCTCTCCGTTGGCATCATCTTCCTGAAAGTGACCACAGATCCGGTTGAGCTGTGGGCGGCTCCAAATTCCAGGTCGCGCATCGAGAAGGAATTCTTCGACAAGAACTTCGAACCATTTTACCGCACGGAGATGCTCATCATCCGTCCCGTTGGCATAGGCTCGGTGAGTTTGACGGCAGGAATATCTTGATAAGGGGTAGGCACATATTTCATCTGTGGTCTATTGTACAGTATACTGTGTTATAATTAATAAATTTAGATAATACGTACTGTACCTGGTAAGGACTTTATTTTAGAGGTGAAAAAGCCACAATTAGGTTTGGTTAATTTAGGTTAGGTTAGATTAAGTTATCTTAGATTAGGATAAGTCTTTACTGAACCATTGATGAAATGTCCTGGAACCCTTGATAGTTATCACTGTAGTGTCTTATGAGGGTTACTTTAGTAGGAAATATGTAAGAGTGAAATTGACTCGATGCTTTCAGTTTAGTTTGACTTTTACGAAATATTTAACCGAGGGAGATTGTGGTTAAATTTAGGCAGTTATCTTCTATCGTTCAATTTTAAGGATTTTATAGCAAGAAAATTAATCTTGACGGTGTTTATGAAGATCAGTAATTGGTCTGTTTCCATCATGGCAGCTGCAGCATGATGTACTTCACTCTAGACATGCAAAACAAAACAAAAAACCTAACCTAACCGAACTAAAATATATTCTCAGATTAAGTTAGTTGAAAGGGGTTAGATTAGGTATACTTAGCTTGTTTCTTTTTTGACAGTTTTGAAAGGTAGTTCGTTAAATTTTGGCCGGCAGTGAATATTAGAAAATCAAGTCCAAGACCATTATAGTACAGTACACGATAGTACTCGACGATGTGTCAAGCTACTGTGACGGAAACAGACCCCATAACTGTTCTGAATTGAGTACGTTTTTAACATTGAAATCGTATCTTGTGTTGCATCTGCTTTTTGTAGCTGATTTATCAGAGTAATTCTAAGCATTGTGGACTGCTTTCTTTGTTAGTTAAGCATTTCATTTGTTTGCTTTTGTTTAGTTACTTTGTGTCATTGTTTTTTTGCTTTGATCATTGAAGACTGATTTTATTTAGTTATTTTTAATTATACAGTTAATAGGACCATTTATTTGTTAATATGAAGCATTTAAGACTTACTAGTTTCATGACCACAGTATGTTAGTTTTGGAGCATTTAAGACTTACTAGTTTCATGATCGCTTCAGGTCTCTCACCAAACTCCCGATGGCCAAGAGATGTGGGGTCCAGTATTCAACATGACATTCCTACAAGAGGTGCTCAAACTACAGAACCATATCACCGGAAATGTAAGTTGCCATATTTAGGTTGGTCGCCATATGCCCCCCCCCCATCTGGTTGCCATTTTTTATTATCTCCATATTTTTTCCCTGATTTTTCATGTGTTATGTGATTGCCATATTTGGTTGCTGATTGCCATGTTTAGTCACTGGTTGCCATATTTTCTTTCTAGTTGTCATAATTTGTATCTGGTTGTCATATTTTGTCTCTATTTGCCAGATATATATAGTCTGGTTGCCATAATTTATCTATGGTTTTCATATTTAGTTGAATTGTCATATTTTCCATCTGGTTGTCATAGTTTGTATCTGGTTCCGAAAGTCTACCTCTGATTACCATGTATTTTCCCCGGTTGCCATATTAAGTCTGGTTGTTCATATTATGTGTGGTAGTCAAATTCTTTCTCTGGTTGCCATTTACTTGAACTACATTTAATTGCCTTATTTTACTTCTGGACATCCTAATAGCATCTGGTTGCCATATTCTGTCTCAGGTTGTCATAAATCACCCCTAGAAGCATCTCTTGACCACTTAAGTCTGGGTACAAGTAATATCTCCGTTAGCCGGAATCCCTCAAACCCGTCAATTCCGGCTTTGGGAACGATTTTCTGAGGGGTACATTTTCCGGGAAATAACGAGAAAATTTTCCCGATATCCAAAAAATTCCGGGGATGAGGGATTTTTCCGGTTTTGAGAGAGTCGTCTTGTTACCTGGAAATCTTTCATTCCCGGAAGTGCTCTGCACCAATCGTTCAAGCTAACGAGGATATCACTGTATACCTACATTGCCTATATACAGGCAGAAATATATACTGTACCTGCATTACCTATATGCAGGTTGAAATATGTATCTGCATTGTCTACTTACATGCTTAATCATTGTCAACTTGCATGCAACTTTATTCAATATATATGCAGTGTCTATCTATCAGTGCATCAATATATCCTTTACTTTAATAATACTCTCCCTAGGAAACGTTGACTAATGTACTAACTATCAATATATCCTAAGGAACTGCTCACTACTGCTTATGCTAACTGACACTGGTAGAGCAATTACGTGTATGTGTGTGCGTTTACTAGGAAACATTTCCCCTTGCAGATATTGGGTAGGGTTAACAAGGAGGAAGTTTCCCTGCAGGACATCTGCTTCAAGCCGCTCTCACCTACCAACAACAACTGCACCATCCAGAGTGTGTTAAACTACTTCCAGAACGACCCGGGCAATCTGAATATCTCCTCGGAAGATGCATTCGGACACGAGGTCAATTATCTCAACCATCTGGATTCTTGCTTCAGGTAGGTCAAACCATCTGTATTCTTGCTTCACATAGGTCAAACCGTCTGTATTTTTGCTTCACATAGGTCAAACCATCTGTATTTTTGCTTCAGGTAGCCCAAACCATCTGTGTTTTTGCTTGAGGCAGGTCAGATCATCTACAGTATCTTCTTGCTTCAGGTGCGCTTAATTGTTGTTACTGTATAATAAAACTTTATTCCTTTGGTTTGGTAAACAAGATAAAAGTGTGTCTTAGTGGCTTGTTTTCCCGTGTATAGTCATGGAAGCACTGCTGATGTGGAAGTGATGTGGTAGGTAGGGTACTGTTTTCAATATCCCTCCATTATCATTGTTCAGCCTGGTTGTTATCTTAATATACCTAAAATCACTGTCAGGTGCTGTTAGTTTTATCATTACAAGTACCATCATGAGTGGAAGTTAGCTGTAGGGATGTTGGCCATCATAAGTGGAAGTTAGCTGTTGGAATGGTGGCAAACATCAGTGTATGGTTCATGTTCCTTGCACTCCATTTCTGTGCATATGGGGGCAGAGTAGGGAATCCTTACCTGCCGACTAAGGGATAAGGCTATATGCTACTGTACAGTACTCCCAGTTTTCCATCAATGATCCTTATTCTCTTTGAAGATCCCTGTCCTATACCCATCCAACCAGAGGTGGTACCCTGTGTTTTGTACATATTATGTAATGTAATAATAAGATGCCCAACTTATATTTATGTTTTAAGTTTGCTTTAAAGTATCTAGTGGTCATTTGAGTGAATTCAATTGTGTGGGTTTTTCATCATTGTTGCTATTGTCTTGAGAATATAAAATATTCCTTGTTTTTATTTTTCAGGAACCCTGTATCACCTATTGAAGAACAATTAGGAATTCCTTGTCTTGGTGAATATGGTGGTCCTGTCTTCCCCTTCATTGCCTTGGGAGGATTCTTGAATGGATCACAGGACCTTGGGGCCAATCCTCCATACAAGAATGCCACAGCTCTTGTTATTACCCTGGTGGTCAATAACTTCTATGACAAGGACAAGATTGCGGAAGCTATGGCCTGGGAGGAAGCGTGAGTGTTATGTAATGTTGAAGGAATATGTTCTGGTGATATGTAATATGGACGCTTTTGCAGTTGAGTCAGTGAAGAAAATGGCCAGAAAATGATGATGATGATGATGATGATAATGATGATGATGATGATGATGATGATGATAATGATGATAGCTTTATTCACCATGATCAGATAGAAGTGACATATTGATGCAGATGAATAGTTGTAGGGTATGAACAGAGACATTACATACACCTTTGAGAGTTATAACTGAAGAACTTGTTGAACTATGTCAGGATTTTAATGCATGGGTGAGGGTTTGGTGCTTGTATGAGTCTTTTGTTACTTGTACGGGTCTGTGTTACTTGTACGGGGCTGTGTTACTTGTACAGGGCTGTGTTACTTGTACGGGGCTGTGTTACTTGTACGAGGCTGTGTTACTTGTACGGGGCTGTGTTACTTGTACCGACGTGACCTGCAAAGTGTAAGATATATTTACAAAGACTGACACTCGAGCAATAATTTTTCACAAAGTGGAATATAAGATAATTCGTCTGGGCTATACAGTATATCGACAAATTGATAACCGGGATGAATAATGTCTTGACGTTTATTTAGTAATTTCTTTCAATACATTATTTGATTGGTATATTGAAATTGTATATACTGTACTGTGGAAATTACTGTCCAGGTGTTGTCTGTAAAGTATATGAAGAGTTTTGAGCCTGCATGTGGAAAGTGATTCTGAACTTGGGAGAAGATATTTCCTTTAAACACCTTTATAAAGAAGACATAAATGATCAGTCTGTAGAGATTGTGTCCATCTTGAATGTTTGTTTTGACAGTCAGGTGCGTACTTGTTCATCTTTTCCACGTAACCTGTATGTATGAGTCGGACATCCCCATTAGGATTTGACACCCATAAAATCTCTCGCCAGATTCCTCCAGTTTATGAAGAATTTCTCTCACCCCATGATGGACATCGCTTATACTGCTGAGCGAGCAATCCAGGATGAACTGAAGCGCGAAAGCGAGGGCGACATCATAACTATCCTCATCTCGTACTGCATCATGTTCGCTTATATCGCTCTGGGTAACTATTAAAGCCTTAAGTTACCATAGGTGGAGGTGTTCTGTGACTGTAAATGTTGACGATTTTTTGGCATTACTCGAGAAATTTAATGTTTTATGTTTTTATTGTCTTGTTTGTCTACTTTATATACGTATATATATTTTTTCCATCTCTCTGTGTCTTCTTCTGTTTGTTTTTATTTACTTATGTCTCATGTGTACTGACCTGTCTGTATATCTAACTACAGTATATATTTCAGTGTATCAAATAAATTACCATATAAATTGATTCAGCTATGAAAAATATTACATTTTCTATATTGAGCTTTGCAAAACTTTAAACACACTTATTTCTTCTTATTATATACAGGGGGTATTTTAATTTTAGTATAGTACTTTCTTCTGCATACATACTGTACTAGGTTAATTCATATTAAATTAATAAAAAATATAAATATAAGAATAAAATGAGTTATGATAATTTTTTTCAAAGTTATTCATGACTGAGGAATTATTATGCTAAATTTACTTATTGTGCAAATCCTTTCCCCCATTTAAATGTGGGTATTGTGTCTGTATCTCCAAGACTTATTACCACTGAGTCATATAAAGACACTCATGTTTATAAAAGGTTACCACCAGCCTGCAGAACTTACGACACTATTTAACACCAGTAACTGTATGTAATTGATGCAGAGAACACTTCCAGATGACCATTGATGCCTGTAGTATTTGTACTATAATGAGTTTGTTGATAATTATAGCTGGCCATTTTTGTTTAGCCTTAGGACCAGGATTTTAGTTATGTTGTACAGTGCAGTCATCCCCCGATCGTAATTAGGTAAGAGTGGATGAGTGGCATATCACTATGAGAGTATTTAAATTGAGGGTCTTGGGCTCAGTTACGGGGGACCATCTTTTTATGCTGCCTTGCATGGCTGGAAGGCAACGTTATTAACCACCGTTGTATTCTTCCCTCACCAGCCCTCGGGGACTTCACTCGCTGTAGTCGTCTTCTGGTGGACTCCAAGATCACTCTCGGCCTCGGTGGTGTGCTCATCGTGCTTATCTCTGTCTCGTCGTCCGTTGGTTTCTATGGTTACATCGGCGTCCCTGCCACTCTTATTATCATTGAGGTAAGGTTGAACTCGTACATGATTTGGTAAATAAACATGATGACTCGGCTTGTCATGCACAGTGAAATGTCGTGAGTCATTAAGAAGTAACACAGTAGCTGAGGATTTTCTTTGTAGTCTGTGTGTAAGTTGAAGAGATAACTAAGACACTGTGGATATTTCTAATTATTGTCATAGCTTTTTCCTGCCATTTTCTAATCTTTGTATTGCACCACTTCCCCTAAAATTTCTTTCCCTGCCCCATTTTGGAGTTACCAGTGTCCCTTGATCCATCCCACACAAGAGTGCAAAGGAATTAAAGATACAGTATACTATAGCAATAGTTGAAGTGGAATATATGGCATAATTTTTCAGGAATGTGCAGGTAAGGAGCTTAAGGACTGTATGTGAGTTAAGGATTGTATGAGTATATATGTTTTAATCAGTTACAGGAATATGTTCATTAATCTGTTTAGGGATGTTTGTTTCCCCTTGCGTTGAGTTTGTACAGTATAGGAATTAATATAAGTATTTTTATAAGATCTGGTGTACTGTGCCTGTTTCACCCCACCACCAAAAGTATCTTGGGAGAATTTGTGTATCTATTTTCATCCCATTTAGTTTAAAAAGGAGTAAAATGAAGAGAGACAAATGAGAGGGAATAGAAATTGACAGTTCTTTTGTAACAGCAAAAAGTGTTCAAGATCATTTCCTTTGTTGGTCACACACAGGCCAGATAAGAGCATGTGGTGATGGCAAGTCACTCATTATCCTACATCCAACTTCCTCACTTCTTCCTCTTTACTCTACATTAAATCCAGTGTTGGGAAACTTGAGAGGGTTAACATGCCCATAAGGTTTACCTACTCAGTACATTGATATCATTCCAGCATCCATTATGACAGCCATTTTGTATTGTTATCACGACTGTTCCTACATCAATACTGTAATTTGATTTTTATGAAATATCCCAGAAAGGATCTCTTTAAGCTGGAATTAAAGCAAATGTTTAACACATTCATATTGTTCCACCAGAAATAAAAGATCTATAGACCATCACCCCTACTGGCACTCTGGTGTACTGATAGTTTTGATCTATATAATGATGTTGATGTGAGTAGCTGTAGGAGACGGGGTGTACATATAAGGGAGAGTTACTGTGGCATAAAGTTAGAGCTGAGTCCAAGCTGGTAAACAGACCCTGAGGTTATTGTCACTTATACCAAACTTTACTGTAAATGTTGATCTGGTTATTCAAACTTTGATTCAGTACAGTAGTTTAATTTTGGGGGTACGAGTTTCTTGGCTGATCTTAAATTTTCCTTTTTATTTTACATTTCAGGTTATTCCCTTTTTAGTTTTAGCTGTTGGTGTTGACAACATGTTCATCTTAGTTCAGACATACCAGCGAGAATCTCGTCGACCAACAGAGACGCGTTCAGATCACATTGGTCGCGTCGTTGGGCAGGTGGCGCCTACCATCCTACTTGCCTCGTGCTCGGAGGCTGCTTGTTTCTTTTTAGGTATGTTAATAGTTCGGAGGTACCAGTTAAATGTTTTAATTATATTTTGAGACTTTGTTGTCATCTTTAATGGTACAGTTGCCCCCACATGAACGTACCACGGCCTAGGTGTGTGTTGGGGCCCATTTATGAGATGTGGCAACTAGGCACTGTATTCATGGTGCTGAAACCATGGATTACCCTCTTTGACAGTTCTCCATAGTTCAATCCTATTCACCCGGTCGTGGCTACACATTGTACACAACCATGCTATATAACACATATTACAGGATTTGTTTATGGTTATCACCTTTACTGCTTGTATCTTATCACAAGTGGGGTAATTTCACTGTTTCACACCCATTCATTGAGCCTTGATTGTGGTGTTGCATTGCCACATCTCATACCAGAACCCTGACACACTCCTAGGTTGTGGTACCATCATGTAGAGGCAATGAATGTCTCATAATTATTGTAATAATTGTTCTGTATATTGAAAACATAGTTACTACAACCAAAGGATAAGAAATTATCTTAAAAGAAAAAATTATAAATTATATTATTTGTTATATTCTTTTACCAAATTAGTTACAAACTCGGATTTCAGTAGCATATTTTTTTCCTTATCATTGTTGCCACTTATCAGCTTATTAGCCATTCAGCAGGTTAATCTATCCAGTGTTAGTACAGTACAGGGAAGGACTGAGAAACCTGTGATGTTAGGGTCACACTGGATAACACCCTTCTCACGTGTAACCTAAAATTGGATTCTCAAAGATTTTTATGTGAATTTTTTACTCCGAACTGGAGACTTAAAAATGAATACACAGTTTACAAATGATTTTATATATTTAGTTTTGTGATTGAATCTCTCATAAATTGCAGAGGTCCTGAACTTTCAGTACAAACATACACCAAATTTCTATATTAACACAGAGTACTAGATGTGTTCTCTTGACAGCCAGATCATTGCTGTACAGTTTGGTGTATTATATTGTATGGATTATTTTCTGCCGTACAGGAGCGTTGTCGGGCATGCCAGCTGTACATGCCTTCGCTCTCTATGCTGGGTTGGCTCTCACTATCGACTTCCTTCTACAAGTGACGTGTTTTGTCTCGCTTGTGGCTCTCGACGCTAAGAGACAGGAAGTAAGTGTGATACCCATTTAAGTGTGATGCTCTTATAAGTGTGATACCTTCAAATGTAGTATCTTGCCTTTTAAGTGTGTTACCCTTATGAATGTGATGCCCATACAAGTGTGATGCCCTATAATACTGAACCACAATGAGTTTGAAACCGTCTTAGCATAATACTGTATACACTTACAAGCACGACTCACTTTTAACTGTAATGTCCGTATATAAATGCAATGCCAGGAAATGCCTCGTCATTCTCAGAGGGGTATTTGAAGTGCCCGAAGCATATGCGAGTAATTTTGGAGTCGAGGATTTAAATTTTTACTACTCCAAAGGTCAAAGTGTTGTGGTGCTGACTGAGAGAAATAAACGCAAAATTGATTTGTTGGGCGACGGTCATTCTCTACCCCCCCCCCCAATTTGTGTGAGGCTCCTTGGTCCACCCAAAGCCATGTATGGGAGGAAGATTAATTAAAGATTAGACGCCCCAGCTTACTTCACCTCCTGATTAAACACCCCTAATACTACCTGGGGTGGGGCGGGTTAGGTTAGATTTCATTAGGGTATATTAGGTAAGGCTTAGTTACGTTAGATTAGGTTAAGGTATGTTAGGTTAGGTTTAGTTATGTTACATTAGGGTAGGGTAGGTTAGGTACATTAGATTAGGTTAAATTCGATTAGGTTAGGTCAAATTATGTTTAGAATAGCAATAGAGTGCTTAATTTTAAGGTGAATTAAGCTGAGGGGTTAATCTTCAGGTGATCTGATAATAGATGGAGAATGATATGAGGAATGAATGAATGAATGATGACTGTGAATGAAGAGAAAGTCTTTTGTGTGTTTCTGCTGCTTAATTCTAGCCAAGCAGCATTATAGCGACAACAAGGTTGACAGATTGAGAAAAACCAAACAAGGAAGAGTTGACATGCACATGATATAGAAAATTATTATTATTATGTTTTTCTTATTATTATTATTGTTTTTCTTATTGTTTTTGTTGTTATTATTATTTCAGTTTGAAGCCATATCCTGTTTTTACTTTGGGCTGCCAGAAATAAGCAAATATTTAGTCTTCCTTCAATCTGTGTGTTGTAATTAGGCTGATTATATTGAACCAGAAGTACAGGTTGTGCCATTTAAAATGTTGCCCAAACAATAATTTGCAGCTGATGCATTGTTTGAAATAGGTATGGCTGTAATTTCAACAATTTTGTCGCTCGATGAACATTTGTTAGGGATAATCCTCTTTGCTGGGACAATTGCAAAGAATTCTGTGGTGAGGCTGCAGTGTTGAACAGTGCACCATCTGTCAAAACTGTTTGGCGCCGGGTATATTTCCCTTCACAAACTCCGCCTGTGTCTCAAAATTTTATTACCAGCTCGTGTATTGTTATTTTATTTGGCACTTGTCTCACGATAAGCATTAGTGAATGTTTCACATACAACTGCAAGCAATTTAAATATAAAGTAATGTTTGACAGTGATCACACGTTCAGCCTGTAAATACACCATCCTCTCACCCTGGTTTCTATAGCTCAACTGAAATTGCACTTATAATTTTTTTTTTATAAATGAGTAACACAGAGAAGATTGGGTGAGTCCATTACACAAACCTGGGGGAGGATATGTCTTCTGATTTCATATTTATAGATTAATTTATGATTGTTGTTTGGGTTGCATTTTAAATGGTGCATGGGTACACCTTGTATAAATTTAATCAGCTGAAGGAAGAAATACAGTAGTACAGTACTCTGAATAGCATATTGATGAGAATATGCAGAGACAGAATTTGATTATAAAGTTTCATAAGGAAAATTTTTTACTTTTTCCACACTTATTAGGGTTAAGGTTTCGCTCTCATAACTCTGTGTAAAACTTCAACAGGAAAACAGGTTTGATATCCTGTGTTGTGTCAGAGGCTCGGACAAAGAGGGAACATCTCAAGAAGGATCATTACAGAAGGTGTTCAAGTATGTTTACACCCCAGCGCTTCTCTCGCGCGTCGTCCGGCCCGCCGTGATGATCGTGTTCTTCGGGTGGTTCTGCTCCAGTATTGCCGTTTTACCCAAGATTGTCATTGGTCTCGATCAAGAACTTTCAATGCCTGATGACTCCTACCTTCAGAAATATTTTGTTGTGAGTTGTGACATATTTTGCATGACTTATTCTCTATTGAACAACAGCAGCTTTTCCAGTAATAAATTGATAAATTATTTCTAACTTTAGATATTTTTATTATTATTATTATAATTTTTCTTTATATACGTATAGAAAGTCGGGCAACAAATCGACTACTCAATATGTTGTCCATTAAGTTTGACTGAGAGTAAATATAATTATTTTAGAATCATCAATTGGGAAAAAAATAGTTTGAGAATATATAACACACTTATCATGCAATTTTTAAACATTGTACAGATGAGGTGAGAAAGGGTGTGAGTGAGTCAGTGTTGTGCTGTACAGTTTTAGTTCTGGGTAATGTTGACCAAAGTACAGTGTTTATGTTATGAAAGAGTCAGAGATGCAAGACAACAATGAAGAAAAAGCAATGGGAACTTGGGTGTTAAAGGTAGATATGTTAAGCAAGCTTCCAAATGTGCTCTAACGGTGAAAAATCCAAGTACATATTTTGTCTACTTATGGATGCAGGTGTTCATACACAGAGGCTCATTAACTTTAGAGTTCATGTGAGTTTTATACAGTGAATTCTTTGCAGCTGTTTAACTTCAATGTCAAGTCGGTGTTTCCCTTATAGGATGACCTGTCTCCAGGTCCCCCATCACTTAACTTGTTTATCAATATATTCAATAGATGTTTATTTACAAAAGTAGTTTAACACACAAAAGTCATTGAGCTGACTAATAAATGTAAGTGTCTATGTATGTCTCTCTGTCACTTTAGGGCAGCTGACAACTGACTAATCTCCTGAATGTAAGATTAGATCAATTTATGGCAGTGGAATATGACAGAGATGTTTGTTTTTCAGTACCTGAGTGAATTCCTGAGTGTGGGACCACCTGTTTACTTTGTACTTAAAGGAAATTTCCACTTCAACAATTTCTCCGAACAAAACAAGATTTGTGGCACCGTTGACTGTAACTCGGACAGTTTGTCAACTCAAGTGTATATTGCTTCTCTCCTTTCCAACAGGTATGGTGATGAGTGCACAGTGCCTGTCTCTTTTCTCATATTATTGACGTACACTGTGTCTGCATACTATAGATGAGAAGCACACTATAGGACTATGACTACTTAATTTACATGGGATGATCATTCTTTTTGTATTTTGTACTTTACTTCACTTTCAGTTTAGTTTCTTTGGTAATTCAGAAACTTAAACTTTGTTATTTATTTTTATGATAGTCAAGCCAAGGTCACTGAGACTGTGTGGTGATGGTCAAGGCTGGACTTGTGTAGATATGGTCGAAAGATATTTTTCAGTCTGAAATTTTATTTTTCTCACATGATATTCCCTTAATGAAGTTCCACAGCATACCTCCATGTCCTTCCATGAATCTTTACTTATTGATACCTATAAATAAAGGTATGCAGTACATCAATGTATAAAACTAAACATATCTCTTAGTGATTTTCATGATGCCTCATACATGATTTTATTGAATTCTCGACCCACTAAACTTGGCATTTTTATACTGCTGTATTTTTTTTTTTTTATATCTACATTGAAAGTGGATGTTTCATGGCTTGGGTGTCATTTATAACCAGAAACGTTTCCTTGTCTGGGGTATAACTCTTGTATCAATACAGGTTGATGATAGAGGTAGTGTTAGGTGGGAGGTAGACTACCTTAACATCAGGGTGCAGGTCGTCCAGATGTGGTGGGTGTCCCGGAACATTATCTAAAATTAATATAATCTTGAAGGCAACCCCTTGTTGCAGACTCATTTAGAAATGCATCAATCCTTCAGGACCTTTGAAACCATCAATCAGCTGAAATTCTTGAGTAGGGGGCGGGGAATCTTTTTCTCAGCTGAGAAAAAACGTACTATAGTCATTTACTACAAATTTAATTCCTTGTTCATTTATTTATTCACATACTTATTCATTAACTGACTCAATCACTCACACACTTGACTCAATGAGAGAACTTTATGCCTGACCTGTGCCACTGAGTCTCCATTGATACAGCATATCCTTGACTTATGATCTTTAGCACATCGCCCTCGATTTCCTTCTCTCCAACAGAACCTTTGTTGCTCAGCCAGCATCATCATGGCTCGACGATTACATGGATTGGTCTCTGTTTAACATAGACGGTGAAGCTGGTAACCCCTGTTGCCGTGTCAGAGAAGACGGCTCCTTCTGTCCAGCGAGTTCATATGACGATTGTGCACATTGTAACATAAGTGTGATAGATGTAAGTCTCTCGTTGAGTCTCAATGACTTTTGTGTTCATCGAATGTGAGTCTTAGATTATCGTTATGACATTGGATAGATTTTAGGTGGGGGATATTTTCCCATAAACTCAGCTTTCAAACTTAGATGTTCTATTTTGCCATGAACTTATGAAACTGAGCAAACCAAACCTAACCTAACGTAACTTAACCTAATCAAACCAAACCAAACCATCTCCATGATAACCAGCACAACACCTCAGGGCACGTTAATAAGAGTGCTCATTCGTGACATAATATCCATCACATAGATATTATGAAATCTAATACGAATAATTAGAATAGAAAATAGAAGGAAAACTTGCCATTATATGCACAGATTAAGTAGACGTACAGATTGAATAGACATAATTTATACCTGTAACAGAGTTGAAGAGGTTGTTGTTGAGGCATCTTGAGTATGAACTCTGACACTGTGTTGTTGGTCTTCTGTGTCTTCTTCTCCGAGGTGTTCTTAAACTATGTAAAGAGAAAATTAAAGGAGGTTTTTTGTTTCATGTGAAAGTGTTAATATGTAAAGTGAATAGATGGCCCAGATATTTGTAATTCCCTAAATGTTATTATAAGAATGAGATAATTTGGTGTAACTTCAGGAAATGATAATATGTGTTGTTGAGGATTGAAGAGAACGACTTTGAGAGAGTGAAAGTGTGCTGTGATATACAGGTATTCCCATCGTGATTTAAGAAACGGTCAAATTTTTTTCCTGCAGGATGGACTACGACCTGATCCTACCTCTTTCATGGAGTATTTGCCCTTTTTCCTGGAAGATGTACCCTCCGAGGACTGTCCTAAGGCAGGTCACGCGGCATATGGACAAGCAGTTAACATCATCACCAACCCTGATAATGAGGTGAATTTATAATGATTTTTGGTGATATATATTTTTTTTTTTTTTCAGTTTAATTATTATTTCATTTATTTACAATTAATTTAATACTGTACCTAAGTTTAAATTGAATAGATGTTTATTTTATTTCCAGATGAGAGAAAAGTTGCAAGATGTGTAAGGTTTAAATTATACATTATTTATCCAAAGCGAGGAGTTGAGGACTTCTTTAAAACACAATTTTATTTTTAATTGTTTGCCATAACCCATCAAGAATGTCATCTTGCACAAGTTATATACAGTATTAATAGTTACACCTTATTTACCTAATTACCACCCACCAGGGGAGGTCAGTTGCCTGTGTAGGATCCATCCATTATTCTTGATAGTTTTGTCAAGGACTATTTTGAACCCAATACTGTGCTCAGTACCACAGCTTAGGCCGGTAGACCATTCTGTAGGTTTACCAGCCTCTGTGTGAAGTATTTTCTTATATTTGTTCTGCATAATAACTTGGCGAGCTTGTAGTATGTCTTCTCATGTTAGTGGGGCTTGACAGAAATGGCCCAGGTTCACATTTTCCTTCCCTTTTAGGATTTTGAATGTTTCAGTATGATCAGTCCTATTGTGCCTTGTCTGAAGGGTTATTAGTTCTAAGGCCCTCAGTCTACTTGGATAATCGAGATGACATAGTTCTACATTATCTTGGTCGTTCTGAGTTGCACCTTTTCTAGGAATTATGTATACAGTTATCCAGACTGGGGTGTATGTAAGCTTTGTACAATTGAAGGAGCATTTCCTATCTTTGTAGTCAGAGGTACACTTTATAATTCTCAAATCTCTGTTGCTTTTCTCACTGCTGCCCCGACTTGTTGCATCGCTATTTACAGATTATTTATGTGTTGAGTATTTGATGCCTACAGTAATAGTTTCCACCGTTCCTCTTGCTTTATCTCAGACGAGTGTTGGCGCCAGTTACTTCATGACATATCACACCATCTTGAAGTCATCGCATGACTATTACGCAGCTCTCGAGTGGGCCAGAGACATCTCCCAGAACATCACGATGACCATAAACAAAGGCTTAGAGCAGCCTCAGTATGAAGTGTTCCCATACAGGTAATATTGAACCATTACTTTCTTTGCTCTCTTCTCTATCTTATTTTTATCACTTGTATCAATTTATTTACTTTTGAAGAGAAAGTTTGAGTTTGTTTATAGAGTCGGCCTTGATGTTGATAATGGCAGGGAGTAACTTGACAGGTAAAAGAAGAGAGTCCATACATTCTCTTAAAATATCCTTCACTCTAATCCTTCTTAACTATTTTTACGAGCAAATGCATTAATATCATCTAATGTGTCCTCTGATGTATCTTCCCCAACAGTGTCTTCTATGTGTTTTACGAGCAGTACCTTACAATGTGGGAAGACGTGTTGAAATCTCTGGGCATCTCCCTGGTCACTGTGCTTCTGGTGAGCATCGTCCTCTCTGGCCTGGACGTGGCCTCGTCCTGCATGGTCATCATCACCATCATGATGATCCTCGTCAACCTCGGTGGGCTCATGTACTGGTGGGACATCTCCCTCAACGCAGTCTCGCTGGTCAACCTCGTTATGGTGAGCGTGGATGAGAAGCGTATTTGGTGGCCACTGACCTTTTATTCTATACTTTTATTCAATGAGTTACATATGTGTGTAAGTGAATATATCTACACTGTATTTTGTATATTTAAAAAGCTGTTGGATTACCTACAGTGATAAGGAATGCACTAATGAGAGTGTTGGAGAAAAAACTAAGAGTAAATTTTTTTTTTCTTTACAGGCTGTGGGTATTTCAGTGGAGTTTTGCAGTCACATTACTCATGCGTTCTCCCTCTCTATGGAAGAAACCAGACTACAACGGGCAAAAGATGCACTCATCACTATGGGCAGCTCAGTAAGTAGTGGAGTAGCCTGTATTAGATGTTTAAATGTGGTCATTTTTATTTATTCGAGAACTCTAAATGATTGCTGTATTTTAGGACGTGCAATAGACAAGAACATAAAAATCAGTATTGACTTTTTTATATTTAATTTTATTTATAAGATGGTTTAGATGATAAAGATGAGATTTGCTGATAGGAGTAATTTATAAGTGACTCAATGAACACGGGAAGGATGTAGTGTTTGGGAAGGAATGACGACAGAACGCAGCATCAAGTGGTTTATAGGGATGGACACGTTACTAGTGGACGCTACTCGGGTGGGTAAATTAACAGTGCCAGAACCAAATGCGTATCTTGAGGCCTTGTTGTGTAGAGGAACAGCAGAATGGAACACATCCTTTATGGTAGTTAAGAGGACCCTTGAAAGTCCTACATGTAATGCCCGATTCCCACCTGTGTGTTGGCAGTAGGAAGTGAATCTAGCTGTAAAACTTGCTTCAAATATTCCTGATGGTAACCAGGACACCATGTCATCAGGTAATCATAGTAATCACGTGCTGAAAATGGCTGTAAAATGATGATGGTGAAGATGACCCATACCAAACAAAAGTGGGAGATGATCCAAGATGATGAATAGATAGATAAATAATGTTGCCATCTTCTTCTCAGGTTCTGTCGGGCATCACGTTCACCAAGTTTGGTGGCATCATTGTACTAGCATTCGCCCATTCAAAAATCTTCAAAGTTTTCTATTTCCGCATGTACCTGGGCATCGTACTGTTTGGTGCGGCACATGGTTTGATATTCCTGCCTGTCATACTCAGCTTCTTTGGTAAGTACACCATAGTGGATACTCTAATACTGAGCTGCTGTTAAGTTCTTTATAGTGGGAATACATTGCTTTCTTTCCTTTAAACTAAAAACACAAACCTTACTGTGTAAAGGGACTCGGGAGGAGAGAGTAATAGCATTCGTATATAAAACTAAAGACTCATCTCACTTGATCTGTTTCAAAAACTCATCACAGCTGCTTCATTTCCTCTTGGATGTCATCCCATATCACAATAGTGTATATATAGAAATGTAGAAGACTTTATTATAATGAGAATTGTATTTTATCCTGTATTATCCTGCTTTAAAAATAATTAAGGGAGTACATTATCGTAAAAAGCCATCTTTTAGTGCAGTGTAATGCCGTGATTACACTTATTGAGCAGAGTTTATGCACTTTGATCTTGTGTATATGGTAGTTCTCAGTACCAAGAGGTTCAACAGCAACTCCCCAGAAAAGGAAAAATTGTTGACAGCTCACCTAAGGACCTTCAGCAGTGATATCTATTACTCTGAACTTAATAATTTATTGTTAATTTAATGAATTTTCTGTGTTATAATGTTTATTGGTGACACCATCATTTTGTCCATTAACATTGAATCCTTTTACTGTAAGCAGGATAGAATTTTGTAGATTTACTGTTTTAAAATGTCTCAAGTTTCCCACATCATTCTTTTAATTCTTGAAGGAAGAAAGTATTCTTACTAGAGGTAATGATGAACTTATATACATGTAGGGTATGGGATGTTTTCCTGGGCCGTGTATGGCTGCTGTTGTGAACCTTCCATATGTCTCCACTGAGTCCTGAATCAAATATTTTTAAAGATCTCGTTTTTTCTGTATAACTCAGTAATTATGAGTTTTAATAATTATAATCAATCTCTTTCCTGAGATATATTAACTTGATTCAATGTTGTCACAGTTTGTAGATAATATTTAGGGGGGGTGGTACTGTGATGAGCTTCACTTCAAACCATTAATTGACTTCTAAAAGTAATGTAATGTTGTAATGTTGTAATCATTCTTTCTCTCTCTCTGTGGAATGGCTTACATTTACATAGATTTTGTCAAAGGAATTTTTAGATAACTTCACACCCAAGCATCAGTACACCAATGGTAGTGAATTTTATTTATATATATTTTTTTTTTTTTGCCCCCCTCATAAATATATATTGTAGATGCACCTCCCACCTGTGGCGTATACAGATATTCAGAACTCTGTCTCAAAATACTTCCACTAATATACTCTTCTAGAAATTTGCCCAACAGTCAGCGGGTTTGTTGTAGGTAAAACATGACATCATTATTGACTGCAAGAATCAGCAGTCTTGTCTTAAATATCATGTAGTGATTATTCTTGTGGGTTACTTCCTCAAAGGCCAGTGTCACATAACCTTAGTTTATTGTTTCCATCGTGCCATTAGTTAGGTGTCAGAGGTGTTCATAATGGGTCAATAACAGCACATTACAGGTTCAGTATTTTAGGAACAACGTTTGAGTAGTTCAGTGTGCTTTAAGAATTACATACTGTATAATAACAAAGGAAATAATAAGGGAAACATCATCAATAAAGTAAATCACACAAGTGGACAAATTTGTGCAAATGTGTCCAAGGGCAAATTAGTTTTGAGAATTAATTGCAAAATCTGTCGGCCTCACAGCAGCAGAATCCTTTGTCGAAAATGTGAAGTGATTCTGGCAGTAAACTCATCTCAATAGAAAGAAAAGTTTGACCATTAATAATTGTTCAGCTGATGTGTGATGAACTTTTACTTTTTAATAATTAAGAGTAATTTAGCTGATACACTGTACAATATTGAACTACAGTAATGGCTTACCAATAAGTATGGCCACACTTGTCATGGGTTGTTCAATATTGTATGTGTTAAAAACTGATAACCACCAAGAGTTAGTAGCAGTAAAGGAATTAATAAGACTAGGAAATTTGTTTTGATTTGTGATTACAGTAATGACTTTAAAATCTGTAAATCTCAGGTTTTGGGGGTAATTATTCTTAGTTTATTCCATACACACAATAATGTTTGGTTCAGTTTTAAGTACAGTTTGTCAGGTGTTTTTTTAGCAGTGACTCGGTGGTCTTTGTTGTCCGGTGTTTGGTTCATTTATAATTATTGCCTGTAGTACTTTTATATTTTAGGTGTCAGGTTAATTTTCCTTCAGTTAAGTGGTGAGGTAATTGTTTTAGTTAAATGAATGTAGTCACTGATTTATTTATGGGGATGAGTGGAGAAGGATGAGAAAAGTGGCCAGTTTGAACAGAACAGGAAGAAAGTTTCATGCAGAAGTAGGGAAGTCTTACAAGATGTGCCACTGTGACTGTCTACCGACACAGGAGAAACATAATCATAGAAATCTGTACCTGGACTCATGTGCTGTCAAGACCTCAGATGCTGCTACAACAAACTTTTCATATAGAACTAACGTATGCAAATTTTTTGTTACTCCAAGTGATGTCTGTAGTGAAAAATTACTGATTGTAGAAGTGGAATGAAGACTGTTAGGGAAGCTGAAGAAGTTGTTGATAACAAGAGCATGTAAGAAAAACAAATTAAGGATTAATGATGGCGAGAGGTCAAGAGTGTATGCAGTGTATCACATAACCAAAGAAAACCTTTTGTTGGTGAAGAAACAAAACTTGTGTTCGATATTGTATGACTAATTAGCCTGGTGTGAAGATGATCTAAGGAGTTGTAATGAGGTTCAGGGTGTCTGTACCTCCTTATTGTTAGGTTGAGAGATATTAACATAACATACTGAAGTGATGTGGTGGACCATGGTATTGGTGGTGGACCATGGTATAAGTGGTGGATATATTGGCTGGTGAGACTTATTCTGAGTTGATAAGAAATGGTAAAATATCAATGTAAAAGTTGAATCATTTGGATAGATTTGTTTGGCATAATTTTATGTAATAATTAAAGATACTGATGATGTTTTTGATATGTTAAAGAGGATCAGTTTATATATCACACTCATTTTAAAGATGTTAGATGATTATGTAGTTATATTTACTGGTGTCAAACTTGAGGTAGTGTAGTGACTAGTGCCTCTGCTTGTTGCTATACTGGTTTGTATATGGTCCCAGTTCTGGTCAAACTGTGGGGAAGGAAAACTCCACCATTTTGACCTAGTGAGGGGAACTTGTTATAATGGTGATGATGTGTTGAATGTGATTTAGTATCATGCTTTTTAGTTTAAGAAAGGGCATCAAAACACCTTTTTTTTTTTCTGAAAACCATTTTTGCAGATGAGCGCATTGACTTCAGTTTATATTTATATTTGTGTTAGTAAAGTTTTGTAATATAAATGGACACTTGCTGTAAATGATGTTGGTTCCTCCAATGAAGTTTTAACAGTTTCTGAACTCAACAACCTGAAGCAGTCAGTATAAGATATTTCGACTCATGGCTGTATAGAAAACTTTAAATTATTTATTTTGAGTGTGTCCCGTCCCCCCCCCCCACCCCAGGCTCAGCAGCCAATCGTGCGCGACGACAGAAGAAAGCAGCGCAGGAACTGGAGGAGCAGGAGCAGGAACGCCGCTGGGTCAAGAAAGTGCCGGCAGGGTTTTAAGCTCCGTGCCCAACGGCGGCTTAATTTAGTTATCCCTTCTCAGAACTGGTGTAAGAAAAGTGGAGCATAACCATTGTTTTGCCTGGGTCACCACCGCACACCATCCTCAGGGACCACAGCACATACTGTACTCTCGGGCAGCTTTTCCTGGATGCAAGAGAAAATTTATCATCATCCATTAGGAGTCTCAGACATCACTTGACTTTCTGTTGCTTCAAAGATCTTAAAGTTTAAAGGTTGCCTGTTCATATTCTTGTCTTTGGCTCTTAATAGATGATTCATATCATCGAGATGACCAGAATAATAATAATGGTATTCTTACAGTGGTGTTTTATCTCCACTCTGTAAACATACATTGCTATTCTTTTGGTTTGTTTCCCTTCCTCACTCAGTCTGTCATTTCTTAATATGATCTGTTCTTATTCTTCTTTCCCTTTATTTTAATTCGACTCTTAGTTAGCATTTATTGTTTAGTGTAAAATACTTTAGCAATTTCATTGTAAAATGGCATCATTTATATTTTCTTCTACTGATGTCTGGTAAAAGTGCCAAAGAAAGTTGAGATCCATTCATTTTTCATTCACATGTACTGGAGACATCTTAAATATTTGAGATACAGATATCAGTATTACTATATATATTTATACATATATGCAAGTAAATCACTGTAGGTGCACGTGATCCAGGTATATGCTGATAACCACAAGAAAAAAGAAAACACGAAGTTCCCAAAGCGCTTGGGAACTTCGTGCTTTCTTTTTCCTTGTGGTTATCAGCATACACTTATACATATATATGTATTTGAAAATGTGGAACTGCAAGAGCAAGGTTGTTGGGAACCATTCTTTGTTGAAGAGGTCTTCTGCCTTCCTTATGTGGTAAAACAGTTGCAGTGGTTATACCTCAGTATGTTGGGGTTAGAGAAAGGTTGATAGATTAGAAAATAGATTGATTAATTGATTGATAGACTGATGGATGTATGAACTACCAATATCTCTGTATGGACCAATGTCAATGCAAACTACCAATATCTATACGGACTATTGATACCTCTACATGTATATTGTATAAAGTACTGTACCGATGTCTCAATATGGACTGCTGTTATCTCTTTATGATCAACTATACTGGTATTTTACATGGACAAGCAATAAATCTAAATGGGCTACTGATATCTATAAAAGCAGCAAGTGCTGGAGGCCCCAAGTGCTGCAATTCACACTCCCATCTCCAGCACTCATTGGTCAGAGGTATTTATTTGTTTCTCATCAGTCCCCCTCTGGTGTCTGTAATGCTCATTGTCTTTTCAATCATTCCTCTTTCCATTTTGTATAATCAGCCAGTGAGGCATGTAGCATTCTTTACAAACTTCATATTTTTTTGTTACACAGATAGTAAGTACCAGTAGCTGTTACACTCACTTCACTCTCCAGACCACCTGTGTTTCTCTTAAGGTGTCTTAAGCTCTATTTTGGAATGAGGCATTGTGGTGTTGGTGATAATGAAGGGGGAGGGATCTCTACATTGTATAGAGTAAAGGGAATAGAAGGAGAGACTTATACAGATTTAAATAGAGAAAAGATCTATATTACTGGAGGTAATGGGATATCTGTTAAGATGGAGTCATCTGTGTAGATGGAAATGGAGATTTTTATTTATTTTTTTTAATTTCCGGTAATTTTACTTTTTTACTTCTATACTCTTCACCACTGATCGGCTCTTTAGCCGCTTGGGCGATTGGTTAAGTTTCTGTTACGCACTGTTACTGGGCATGCACTGGCTCCTAAATGTATCTGAACCTGCTCCAGTGCTTATCCAGTCTGGTCTTGAAAGAGCTCACATTCGGTGCCGTCACAACACTCTGGCAGATTGTTCCAAGAGTTCACAACTCTCACTCTGAAAAAGTTACCCCTCACAGTTTTCTGGACTTGCGGCTTCTTTAACCTTGAGCTGTGATCCCTTGTGGGGCGAGCGTCCACCAGCTCCAGGAAGGGGCACTCGACTGAGTAGTGCCCCTTGAGATGCTTGTACACCTCAATTAGATCACCCCATGTCCGTCTGTAGTATAAGCTAGGGTAGCTGAGGTGCCGAAGTGCAGGCACCACTCTGGTGGCCCTCCTTTGGACATTTTTAATCAACTGACAGTCCCTAGTATATCTCAGGGACCAGACTGGGTGACAGTACTCCAGACGGGGAAGCACTTCACTCTTGAAGATCATTATGAGGGACGGACTGTCTAGATATCTGAATGACCTTCTTTTAAAACCTAATAATTTATTTGCCTGATTTACCTTCTTCTCGCAATGACTCAATAACTTCAGCAATTGTCAACGTACACACCTAGGTCCTTTTCACATTAAATCTCAATTAATGCAGTTTCTTCGTCCCATTGGGACATATGATATGCCTCCTTACCGTTGGTATGTCCCAGGTGCATCCTCTTAAACCTAGTGACATTGAATCATAGCAGCCATTTTTTCGACCATTCTTGAAGCTCACAGAGATCCTTCTGCAGCTCTTCACAGTCTGCATGGTTCTTAATTTTCCGAAATAACTTGGCATCATCCACAAACATTTGTATGGAGGAATGTACAGCTTCAGGCATGTCATTTATGAAGGAAACAAACAGCAGCAAGCTCCATACACTGCCCTGTGGTACCCCGCTTGTGACGGGTACACATGATGATTTCTTGCCATTAATCCGATCCACGCTAGGACATTTCCCCGAATCCCGTACCCTTCCAGTTTAATTTTCAGCCTTTCATAGGGTACACTGTCGAAAGCCTTGGCAAAATCTAGGTGTATTTTGTCGATATTACCACCTTGTTCCAGAATTTGGGTCCAAATATCCAGTACCTTGAGTAATTGTGTTAGCAGGAGCGCCCTGGCATAAAACCGTGTTGGCAATCATTTACAAGGTTGTTTCGGAGTAGATGTTCCATCATGGCATCTCTGATAATGCTCTCAAGTACTTTACATACTATAATGGTCAGGCTTACCAGTCTATAGTTATTCGTGGAGTGACGATCACCCTTCTTGAAGATAAGACTCACATAAGCCATTTTCCAATCACTGGGGACCTTTTGCTCATCCAGGCATTTACTGAACAGGATCATCAGGGGCCCAGCATGCTCTGGGATGCACCATGTTAGGTCCAGGACTCTTATGAACCTTTAGCTTTGACAGTTATACCCTCTTCTGTGAACACAATGTGGGTCAGTGCTGTCTCGTACCTCCTGTCCTCAAACACAGGAAGCTTGTTTGCATCCTCTCTTGTGAGCACCGAGGAAAAGAAGCTGTTCAATGCCTCGGCTTTGTCCTGGTCAGAATCTGAGTAACTACCATCTTCAAGCCTCAGGTCTGATACTCCTACTCGTGTTTTTAATTTCGTCTTTGTATAGCAGTAAAACGCCTTTGGGTTTGACTTGACCTCGCTTGCAACCAGCCTCTGGAACTCCTTTTCAGCCCTTCTACACTCTGACTTTGCTTGGTTCCTGGCTCTTGCATACATCCTCCTGTCCTGCTGATCGTTTGACCTAACCCACGTCTTGAATTTCTGGGTTTTCTTCTTAACATTGTCGACCTCCGCATGGTTCATGTGTTGTGGTCTCCTTGTATTCCTAGAGACACTGGGTTTGGTCTTGGGTATATACTTCTCGTTCAAAGAGAGAAGTCTATTTACCGTATACATTACCCTGTATATGGATAGATGGAGGAGAATAAGAAAGATTAAATCTTTTGGTCCCTAAAGTATAAGGTGTTGAGTAGCTGTTTGTGTCATTGTTGGTTTAAGAAATTTTTGCTGAAAGGTTTTGGTTGTGTTTGGCTTTACTTTTTTTTTTTCCACAAGGAAATCTAATACTGTACTGTATAGAGCAGTGTGGACAAATATCTCCTTTTAAGACTGTGGTGAGAGACGCAGGTGATGCACGAACGTTAACAAACTGTCAAAAGTTTTACACTTGTAGAATAGAACAACATGTGTGGCACGCGGTAAAACACAAGACTGCACTGTACAAGTTTTGTAAAGGAGAGTTATTTTATGTTTGGTTTAGTGGTTTTCTCCAATTTTATTATCAAAATTGCATGCAGCCATCTTTCAATATGTAAAACAATTTGGGTAACATTTGGTTGTTTTGAATACTGGAACCATCTTTCTTTTTCTGTTACATTTTATGGATGATCTATTTACCACATTTATCTCACTGGACAAGTTGTGACTAACAATATTCTGCCATTCTCTCTTAGTCTAACTTTAACAGTAATTCAGTTTTTGAATCTTGGGTGTGATGCCGGCTAAAACAATAATTTATTTTTGTTCAATAAGCCAACCATGACTGTCATGATTAGAAGAAGTACATGTATAAAAACAAAGGTTTTGTTCCTGGCTTAACCTGGTTACTCCTGCACATACTCCAGTACCTGTGTGTGTCTTTAGTATTTTGTCACCACAGTTCAGACTGTTCTTGCTGGGAAAGCATTCTTAAATTATTTGAATCACAATACAGTATATTTAATGTTCATATCAGGAGAGCCCAGAGAAATTGACTTCCCTAATGCAGTACTGCACTGTACCTGTGTGTCCGCCACAACACCCCACTAAAGACTCCCTTCTACTTCATAAAACCCCGGAATTATGTTGTAGTATTGTTATATTTAAATTAAATACAGTACTGTATATGTATATTAAATGGGTTCTACATCACAATTCATTGGTGTCCTCTTATAAAGATGAAAAATGTAATTTAACAAACTTTTTTAATACTGTACTGTACAATAATAATGTTTTAAGTATGGTTGGGTTGTTGAAAATGGACATTTTTACTTAGATTAAAAAATTATATTGGTAATGGTTGTAATCACACATGGTACATACTGGTCAATAATGTTCTAATATTTATAAAACAATTTAAATTTCATTGAAAGGAAATCTTGTATTTCAATAGAGTGAAAATATCAGAGTTTAAATCTAGAATTATTTGTTTTTGTCTGTTACAAAATTTTCTTTCAATATCTGGGATTATTGGTAAACCATAATTTAAGTTGTTAATGAATGTGGAATAAAATTGTAAAATTTGTAAAGTATAGTACAGTCTTGTCAGTCCTCCGTCCCATCCATGAACCCTGAGACTCACGAACCTATGAATCTGAGACTTCGCACGTCGTTGGTTCCATAGATGGTGCACTGTGTGATGTCTTGGATTCACAGGTTCACAACTTGGGGTTCATGGATGCGATGGAGGACTGACAGGACGTTTTTCCATGACTGTACATCATGTTGAACTGTATTAGATTTATATAAAGGTATAAATATATGTACAGTCTCATTCAAGATTCTTCAAACACTGCTGGACACAGCTGGCAACTCAAGGCCGTTTGTTTACTATAGTACCTAGTATAATATAATACGAAACAACAAATCCCAACCATTAAATTAAGCACCGATCACTTTTACATTTATTAATAATTTTTACTACGTACTATAGTAAACAAACGGCCTTGAGTTGCCTGCTGTTAAAAGCAGTGTTCGAAAATTCGTGAATGAGACTGTACATACCGGTACATTATATGTAAATATGACAACTTGTTGAAGATTGTGTTATTACCAATTACATAATGTGTTCAATATTTTTATGAAAGGAAATTACATTTGCATTTGTTTTCATGAAAGCTTTTTATAACAACTGTTAATATCTTGATAAATATTACTATAATTATTTTCTAGCGGTTAATACAGTGTGCGTCAGTCTCGTAGTTTTTGGGTGCAGGTAGCCAGTGTTCCGACTTCAGTTTTATTGTTGTGTATATTCCTGTATTTGTCATTTTATGTTACAGGGCCGAAGTCCAACAGGTGCCGCATACAGAAACGTCAGTGGAGTCGTATTGCGGAGAGCTTCCACGGCTCCATGTCCCTGAACGAAGAGGTGCCTGACCTGCAGCATCCCATCAACATTTCCGCTGTAGACACTCACATAATACAGCCCGACATCCATCCCAGCTATGGAGGCACAGACAATGAGGCATTTACTTGATTAGATTAGTGAGACTATGGCAAAAGATGTACATATGGTTATACTTGAGATGTTGATGTGTAAATGATGTCTTGGTATTGTATTGGATCTGACACTATATATTGGTTTATGGCTAACTGCTGGAGGGAGGTGTAAATTTTCATCTGGGTTAAAATATAAAAAATTTTGTCGAGTACAGTATAGTGTTGGCTTCATGCTGTACTTTTTTGATGGGGTAAAATGTTCAGCTTTTTAAATGGATGAGTAAAATTGGTTATAATATTCTCTACCCAATTGAGGAAAGTTTTAATTATCATATATTGAATAAGTGGCCAGTATAGTATCTTTTCTGTACTTGGTTAGTGGTTAGTATTTATACAGTAGCCAAGTCAAGTTTTCATAACCCCTAAATATTTATTATAACAAGCTGTCTTCTGTGTTGCTAAAAGTATCCAGCTTAGGATAGAGCAAGAAATTTTTTCTTTGGATGTTAATAGACTAATAGATTATTTTAGTCATTGTTGTGAAGAACAGATGATAGATCCAGCAAGAAAAACGTCTCTGTATTGTAATATTTATAGGGCAACCTTCAGTATACTTTAGGACCAAACATAACTTCTGAATGGTTACCAGGAAACTGACACTGTACTTCTTGCTGGTTCTCAAGTTTTATAAGTTCCATATATAACTTCCATACTTATGTACAGCCAGAACCTAGGTGAAGGTGTGGGCTAAATATCATGTTTTTATAGAACCAAATACTGTTCAGTAGAATCCCGGTTATCCGAAGTCCAGGCAATCAGCAGATTCAACCAACCGGCACCAAGATGAAAAAAAAATAATAATAATTCCTCCAAAATCAGCTACAGTTGTAAGTTTGAATACCACAAAGAATGAGGATGAGCTGCCATATTTATTGGACAGTTCTTTAACACTTATCCCACTTTATATAAACAATTAAATAAATATAAGGTTAGCTTAATTTGAACAAATTTTAAATTGCATACATCAAAAATAAAAATAAATGTTATGATGAACAATAAAAGTGATACATAACATATCATAAAATACAATAGCACACATTTTATGTACAAAAAAATAGTTCTATCACACTCAAACCATCCACGGGTCGACACAGACCAAATTCAGCCAGGCAGTTGATCTGATAAGTGAATGCTGCTGTGTGTGTATGCCATGATGTCACATCGGGGGAGGGAGTGTGGCACACACACACACACACACACACACACACACACACTGAGGGAACTACTACACCACGTGAGTTCCTCTTAACACCATCTAGGAGGGAGTTACTACACTACGAGTTTGCTGTTCAACACCTACATTAATCTGTATGTTCCTTTACCTTTCTCTAATGAAGGCTTTTGTTAAACCACCAATGTATGTAATAAGTCATTTATGTCCAATGTATATTTTCAGCCTTCGGGCTGCAGAATTTTTTCAATAAACCGTTAATTATTATTATTATTATTATTACACACACACACACACACACTCACTCTCTCTCTCTTTTACTTCATTTTCTTATTTTATAGTTTTATATTATATTATTTTATATCTAAGCTACATTAGAGTATTGTAATGATTTTTCCACAACTTTTATAGTTTCATTACATGTAACAATGAATTAGGCGGCTGGGCTGGCAGGTCAGCAACGTAGTTACAGCCCATCGCCTCCACACATGTTCACCTCACACATATGTATGCCCATGCTCTTCATGTGTATATTTTATAATTTTATATTATAAATTCTTTATTTCTAAGCCACATTTTTTGTATTGAGTGGAATAACTGTTAATAAAGAAGACCATTTTTTCTGCAAATCCATCATGAGTTTAAAAAAAAACAATCAACTGAGCATAGACAGCCAAATATCATGGTAATTGGGGACACTTGTGAAAATGCAGGATTTGCAGCAAAATGAATTAATGAGACACACATTTGCGAGGTCAGCCTGTAGCATTGTGCAATGTAGTAGCTATTGGGAAATCCTAAGAATAAGGTGCCAAATAACAGGGATTGTACCTTGTATATAATTTTTCATGTCTGCATCTCGGTGGAGTGAATGGGAGTTGTCTATTCAGCATTGTAGTCATGCAGTGAGTGTAGAAGCTCAAAATTAGTGTGATTGATTATATATATATATATATATATATATATATATATATATATATATATATATATATATATATATATATATATATAATATATATATAAAATGTGTGTGTAACCAATTGGAATTCCCATTGGAGTTTATTAAATAAATGGTAAGGCAGTGGAATGGCCCCTCAGAATACCGCATCAGCACAAACAAAATTAATGAAGTATTTACCGTGACCTGGACTGGTGTTGTTGGGGTTAAAGAGACACACTGGTAATGATATGACATTTGTATTACTCAACAGCACCTCCCTTACAGCACTAAAAATGATATTAATTGCATAAGAGAGAACATTTCATTTGGATATATCCCTCAACATATCATACATCGCTGGACACCACTATTAATGGCACAATAATTCATTTGGATTTATCCCTCGACACACCTTTCAACGCTAGACACTCCTGTCATCAGCATAGAAAAATATGAACCGGCTCCCAATTTGAGCTCACCACTCAGAAGTTGCTGAGGTCAAGGGTCACACTTCACTGAATTTTAGCCCACTGACAGTCCCATTATCCCTCAAATGTTGGGCTAGGAGAATTTTCACTGCCCCTCACAGACGGACCAATGTAAACATTTGAAAAAAAACTAATGGAATATATATATATATATATATATATATATATATATATATATATATATAATATATATATATATATATATATATATATATATATATATATATATATATATATATATATATATATATATATATATATATATACAGTGGCCCCTCGGTTAACGAACTCAATCCGTTCCAGAAGGTCGTTCGTTAACCGAAACGTTCGTTAACCGAAACCATTGTTTCAATGGGTTTTTGGGTAATTGGTTCCAGCTCACCGAAAATTTCCTAAATTCAACAAAAATGGTAGAAAAGTTCACTTACTTTGAGGTGTGTATGTAGAAGGCTCCTGGATGATGATGATGATGATGGGATTTAGAATGGGGTGGAGGAGAAGGAAGAAAAGAAGGCATTGGGGTGGAAGAGAAGTCACCCCATGGCGCCATTTTACCCATAAAATTTTAGCTCTCTGGTTTAATTCAAGATTATTTTCTTTAAATCAATGCTGCACTGCATTATATATTGTCAATATATAAAATATATTTCAAAATGACCAATAATTTGCTTGGAAACACAGACAAAAAGCATTTAGTTGAAGAGAGTCTCAAGCAAGATGTTACCTCCAGTGAAAACAGAGAGAGACTGACGCCTGTTTGCTGTGTTAAGAGGCTGGATGCCGCGCATTAAACTAGTCACTTTACCTTCAATTTCGTTCAATAATTGTTAAAATGACTAAAAAATTGAATATTAAACTTTTAAAATTATTGAATAGTATAAACTTCTTGATATTTACAAAAATAGTAAGGAATTTAAGCCCTAGAACCGATTAATGTATTGGCGGACTGCTACTAAAGCTGGTTGCCCGGTCAGTGCAAGCGAAAACATGTTGAGGTCGGTTCGTAAGAAGTTCGTTAAGCGAAATTTTTTTCGTTAAACGAATTGAAGATCCTTATGGAAGGCAGTTCGTTAATCGAAATTACGTTAACCGAGGTGTTCGTTAAGCGAGGCACTGTATATATATATCATGTAGATCCACAATGAAAACGTGGATAAGATAAATGTTGATAAAATCACACGGGGAAAGGGAAACAACGGAGCCAGTGAAATGACCTGGGTGCGAATACAATTTACATTGCTGGGATTCTTGTAAGATAGTGATTAATTTGAATATAAACAAGCTATAATTTGCACTAGACATAACAATTTTAGTGCCGTAATCAATTTATTACAGGTACACTCCAGCTTTGCGCTAAAGTCATTTATTTCTTTTACGCTTCTTTTAGTATGGTGTGTGCATGTAAATGGATGTAAATCTACCCAAAAATACATTTGAAAAACTTTATATTATAAAATGTACTACAGTACTGTACACTTATGTATTTAAATTTTTATCTCTTGAGCAAAATATATGACGTTTATATTCAAATTATTCACTGTCTTGCAAGGATTTCAGCAATGCAAATTATATTCTCCTAACTTTAGTCTTAGATATTGTATAATATAAACATTTAAAGCCTAAAGAAAACACGAAACTTTTGTCTGGGAAGGCAGGGGTAGGGAGGGAGCCAGTGAACCAGCGAGCATGGGAAGGTGAAAGTGAGGGAGGAGGAGGAGGTGAGGTGAGGGAGGAGGAGGAGGGAGGAGGTGAGGGAGGGAGGAGGTGAGGAGGGTGTATTTTGATTGACAGATAGTGTCTGGGTGAAGTATAATTTGTTTATTTACTTGAGATTTTTGTTTTTAGCTCATAAAATTCATAGAAATTACCCGGCCAGAATATAATTTACATTGCTGGAATTCTTATAAGATAGAGATTAATTTGAATATAAACAAGCTAAAATTTGCATTTGACATACAAATTTTAGATCTAATTTAAGAATTTTATTAGAGAGAGCAAAAATTGTATCTTTTGTGCAAAATATATGACGTTTATATTCAAATTATTCGCTGTCTTGCAAGGATTCCATTAATGCCAATCATATTCTCCTAACTTTAGTCTGTGATATTATATGAAAAACTTAAAGCCTAAAACCCTGGCTGGGCAGACGGGGAAGAAGCGGGGGGGGATATGTTTTGACAGTTGGCGCTGAAGGTCTGTGTGTTTATTTATCAGTCCTTAAGAGTGACTAAGCTTTTCTCTTATAATTTGCCACCCAAACAACCTGGGTGAATATAATTTACATTAATGAGGGAAGTGTTGGTGTAGAGATGTTGGTGTTGATATGAGGGAGGTGTTGGTGGTGGTGTGGGAAGGTGTTGATATGAGGGTAGTGTGAGGGGTGTGGGTGGTGGTGTGAGGAAGGTGTGAGTGTGTGGGGGTGTTGAGGTGTGGGGAGATGGTGGTGGTGTGGGGGAGGTGTTGATATGTGGGGGTAGTGTGGGGAGGTGTGGGTGGTGGTGTGGTGAGGTGTGGGGAAGGTGTGAGTGTGTGAGGGAGGTGTTGGTGGTGGTTTGAGGATGGTGTGAGGGAGGTGTGGGTGGTGGTGTGAGTGAGGTGTGAGGAAGGTGTGAGTGTGTGAGGGAGGTGTCAGTGGTGGTGTGAGGGGGGGGGGTCTACCAGGCGTCCAGGCCATTTTCTAAACAGCCTAATTATCTAAAATAATTGCAAATTCCTTTATTTCTTTACTTGGTGTTTATGCTCACCTTAATATATCAGCTGTCTAGATTCTAGGAGTACTTAATAATACCCTGTAATATGTTCAATATTCAGGCACTCAAAAATTACAATGACCACTTCAGGATATTAATACCTCACAAATCATTGGCAGTCGGCGCCTGTTTAAACACACCTCCCGGCTTCCTGCTCAGCTGACCGGCAACCATTTTCTTCTATTTCTACCAATGGCAGACTTAACTGAACAGTGTGGACCTAATAATAATTATTGCGTTGCGCTCGAAGAGGAGTTAATTAATTTGTTCAACGACCTGTCACCGTACACAGTGTGAATGTAGGGAGGACTACTTCCAGGCCAAGTTCTAATGTTTTATTGTCTGTTATTTGTCAGTCCTAAATGTCCGAAGAAAGAATTTATAGATGGTAGCTGTGTGTGTTCATCTCCTCAGGGAACTCGGTATGTGTAATCATTGATATTTTTTTAATTATTACTTCTACTTAATTGACTATTTGAGTCGGTGACTTGTCAAATGGAGTCAAGTTCTAATAGAACCCAATTTCACCTGACCTACCCATTAAGATGGACCCCAGTCCTAAAGGTTACATAAGATTCATTTTTCAGCTGTTGAGACTGAAGCCCGTGTGATCTACAACCATTCACATTATCTAGAAATTACTTTTTAAACCAGGCAGAGACATTCATGATTTGTTTTCATCATTATTGTCTGTATTCCTGTGATCTTCGCTGTTTTTATTATAAAGTATTAGCCTAGTCCATAGCAAGTGTATTACTATTAGATTAACATTATACTGAAGGATCTTGTGAAGAGATGTACTGTACTGATCCAACACAAGCAATTGTTATTATGTGTTTAGTAGAACAAGTGAGGACAAAGTTTATGTTGTAATACATTGTCCTCGTATTCCAGTTAACGAAAGACGTGAAAGGCCAAAGATAGACGGGCGTTTACACTATTATTCATTGTTATTCTCTCAACATGTAGTAGTGTAGTGTTAGTCAGTCATACTGGGAGTGTACAGAGAGTGAGTGAGTGTGTGTAATTCAATGAATACACAATGTAAAGAGAATGAGAGAGTGCCAGTAGTGAGGGAGTGTGTGTGTGTGGTGGTGTGTTAATACCATGGAGGAGTGTGTGGTGGTGTGTTAATACCGTGGAGGAGTGTGTGGTGGTGTGTTAGTGTCTTAATACCAAGGAAGTGTGTGTGGTTGTATTAAATACCATACACGAGAGTAAGGATTGGATGGAGGAGTGTGTGTGTTAATACAACTGTATAGTGGAGTGTTATATAGATGGGAAAATGTGGATGTATAAAGTGATTGGGCTCTGTGGAACAGGCTACAAAGCTTGTCTTCCTGGATGGTAAACACATACTGTATTCATCCTCTGCTAATAGCGACATTGACAGATATATTTGTATGCAGTCACGAAAAAAAAACAAGTTCAAGGTTTATTTTTATTGTGCAGGCAGAGCAGTGTCATTTTGATTGGTGTCTGAGGGTGAATTTTGTGCCCCATCAAGGAACACAAAACCCGATAGGAATATAACAGTTGTAAACAGAGTTCACTCACGAAAGATAATCTATTTAATGATTTGTTATTTCCTGTGTTGTCGCTTTTGTTGAATGCATCTGTATCCCAACGAAATGCGGCTTATTGGACTAATACAATTAATGTCTATTACATGTACAGTATATGTTTACATATTGTAATGTTTCTTTTCTTGGAATTGTTAAGTAATGGTGATATGAAGATTTACGTAAAAATTTGTGTCAAAAATGTTTGAAATATGTATGCTAAATTTAGGGGAGGGAATTCCCAGGTGGAATGTTTTATATACAGTAAATGTTTAAATAAAGCATAAGTTATTAAGTTCTAGAGATATAGGTGTCAGTTACTGTTAGGAATAATCATTGTCATTAGCAGTATTATAATATACAGTATACAACAGTTGTACTCATTGCACATCATTTTGTATTATCTGAGACTGTCATCATTCATCACATTGTAAATATTTTCTCTTGTCAAACTAAATGATAGATTATGTATACCGAGAAATACCGTAATTTATTATCATTAATAATACAGTTGATTTTCTATGATTATAATCATTATATATATATATATATATATATATATATATATATATATATATATATATATATATATATATATATATATATATATATATATATATATATATATATATTGATGTTATTATAGACAACATATGTATGGGACGATGAGGATAGCTAATGACGTTTTCCCCGTACACGTACAGGACAAACGGCTACGGTTTAATATGCTTTATAATTTATAATCTTGCCACTTAATGTTTTCTAGCCATTATTTGTTACTGTTAGTATAGGAAGAAACCGGAGTACCCAGACGAATCCTGAAATGTTTGATAAGGTTACTGGATAATTCCCTTCTCACGTATGTGGCGGGCCAGGCATTATATTACGTTAAATGGCTCCACAATATGTTGTGATACAATGTTCTTGTATGTGATTATTGCAATACTGAGGGTTGTTTTTTTTCTAGAATCTTAAATAAAGAAAATACTTCTAATGTTTGCATTTTTTCCAAATTTCCGTATTCAGTTTATTTTCACATTTATATGAATAACAATCATGTTCTAGAAAATGTCTCGGGAAGGGGTGGGCAGGCAGGCTCCACATCACAGGGAAGGGTAGGGTTCCGTCTCCTGGGACGTAATCCTACCCTATTCTGAGGCGGAATCTTACCGTCTCCTGGAGCAGAATCTTGTTTGACTTTTGAAATTTCAGGTCAGCCTTAAATTACAGAAAATGGGAAATATCGGGAAAGTTACTACTTTCGTGGAAGAAGATTATCGACTTTTGGGAAATATTAACATATTTTTCAAAGTAGATTATCATAGAAAACGGGAAATTTGTATCACAGAAAATGTGAAATTTTTCTACTTTCTGGGAAAGTTGGTTATCTACTTATCATAGAAAAATGGACCTATTTGGCCAGATAGGTCCGGTTTTTCCCAAAAAGTCGATAATCTACTTCCACGAAAAGTCGATAATCTACTTTCCCGAAAAGTAGATAATCTACTTTTCGGGAAAGTAGATAACCAACTTTCCCGGAAAGTAGATATTTCCCATTTTCTTTGATACAAATTTCCCGTTTTCTTTGATAAGTAGATAACCAACTTTCCCAGAAAGTAGAAAAATTTCACATTTTCTGTGATACAAATTTCCCGTTTTCTATGATAATCTACTTTGAAAAATATGTTAATATTTCCCAAAAGTCGATAATCTTCTTCCACGAAAAGTCGATAATCTACTTTCCCGAAAAGTAGATAATCTACTTTTCGGGAAAGTAGATAACCAACTTTCCCGGAAAGTAGATATTTCCCATTTTCTTTGATACAAATTTCCCGTTTTCTTTGATAAGTAGATAACCAACTTTCCCAGAAAGTAGAAATATTTCACATTTTCTGTGATACAAATTTCCCGTTTTCTATGATAATCTACTTTGAAAAATATGTTAATATTTCCCAAAAGTCGATAATCTTCTTCCACGAAAAGTCGATAATCTACTTTCCCGAAAAGTAGATAATCTACTTTTCGGGAAAGTAGATAACCAACTTTCTCGGAAAGTAGATATTTCCCATTTTCTATGATACAAGTTTCCCGTTTTCTTTGATAAGTAGTTAACCAACTTTCCCAGAAAGCAGAAATATTTCACATTTTCTGTGATACAAATTTCCCGTTTTCTATGATAATCTAAACCATTTTTTTTTCAATTTCAATTGTTTATTCCTTGATAGAGGGAGCAGGATCCTAGTGCTGTCACTAGGTACCCCTGTACAATGACACCAGAAGCATCTGGCAAGTGTGACAAGTATATACAGTATAAATATTATAAAGGGGCTTACTAAAGCCTAAGGAAGGAAGGATATTCCTTTAACACATAATCAATGTTATTTACATAGTATCTGGCCAGTATGGGGAGGATCATCGTGTCTCCGTCAGGGGTCGTGGAGTGGTGGTCCAGCAGGCGTCACGGAAGCGTTGTGTGTGGGGATATCTTCGGAGGTAGTGGATAAGGGTGCGGCTGTCGGGTCTTCTGCATAATGCACAAGAGCGTTGCTCAGGGGATGCGGGTATACCAATCTCCCAAGCAAAGTCATAGATAATCTACTTTGGAAAATATGTTAATATTTCCCAAAAGTCGAATAGGGTAGGATTCTGCCCCAGGAGACGGTAAGATTCCGCCTCAGAATAGGGTAGAGATTCCGCTTCAGAATAGGGTAGGATTCCGCCTCAGAATAGGGTAGGATTCCGCCTTAGAATAGGGTAGGATTCCGCCTCAGAATAGGGTAGGATTCCGTCCCAGGAGACGGTAGGATTCCGACTCAGAATACGGTAGGATTCCGTCCCAGGAGACGGTAGGATTCCGTCCCAGGAGACGGTAGGATTCCGCCTCAGAATAGGGTAGGATTCCGCCTCAGAATAAGGTAGGATTCCGCCTCAGAATAGGGAAGGATTCCGCCTCAGAATACGGTAGGATTCCGTCCCAGGAGACGGTAGGATTCCGCCTCAGAATACGGTAACATGTATATGTGAGGGTGTCTGTAGCTCCAGCTTTATGGGGGGGATTAATAATGATTTATGATAAGGTAACGAGTGGTACAGGTGACTACATGGGTTTACCCCAAGTCTTATTACGTCAACATGTCCCAATATTCTATACACAACAGCAACGATTTACCCTGAAACTTTTACACACACACACACACACTACGCAATGGTGAGTAATCAGGTATGTTCAGGTAAAACACCCACAACAATAACACATATTGACAGTCAATGGCATCATACAGGCTGCCATCACCACACTCAGCTCAGACACACTTGATGGTATGACTTTAAGGATAAGGCTGATAGATAGACGTCTTATACGATACAGACGAGAGAGATAACAACTCTTGATCCATTTGAGTTATAGGCGGTAGAGGCGAGAGACTGACTGGCCGTGGGTGTTATTGAGTAACAGCGATAAGACTACAACCGATATTATAATATTGCGTGGGGTGCTGACAGTGTGCTGGCTGCCGGGTGAGTGACGAACACTCCTCCTCCTCTCCTGCTGGTGCTGTCCTCGGCGTGTGTGTGTGTGTGTGAGTCGCCCATTTACACGCCCAGTCGTCATTAGTAATACCCACCCTTATCACCCGCCCACAAGATAAGCCCAATATTACCCATTTTAACCCAACTCTCTAACTAGACCGCCCACTATGAGGGTGTGGGCGGTCGTAGTGATATGGGCGAGTGGTGGGGTGAGTTTAGCAGCACCAGGCCCGTCCATTACTACACAGAGGTGAGAATTACACACCATTAGATATATTTTGTCTTAACAAATGGCGTCAAATTTATTCCGAGACTCTACCTAGAGAAATAAATAAATAAATAAATAAATAAATAAATAAACTTTACAAAATTTATTCAAGCTGAGTTTTTTTTCAGTTTACTTTAAGGTTACAGTACTTCACAACATAATCGACGCACTCAACGCCTAAAAACGCACTCAAAGACACTCAACGCATTCAACAGCACATTCACTCTATTTAATACAACGCACTCAACACCACACTCATCACACGCAATCCACTTACGTCATCCCCTTTTGTGTGAAATATTCCTCAGGATATTTCACACAGACATACAGAGAGAGAGAGTTTATACAGATAACCTAAAGTTTATTGAAGGACACGATATATATATACATACGGCTTTAGGACAACTTCCCCTGGTGGATAATATGTACCACGTGTTGAAATAAAGTTGAGTTAGGTTAAGTAAGAGACCAGTGATGGATGACGTCATAATAAATTGTGAAGGTTTAAACTGATTAAACTCTTATCAGATAATCTTGTTTACACCACCTGTACCAGCCTCTGCGTGATAAAGTATTTCCCTTCTTCGTCTTGCCTGATAACTTGGGGAGCTTGTAGTTAAGGTGGTGCTCTGGTTCACGTTATCAGCCCTATCTTATCTGAAGGGTTGTTAGTCCTCAGGCTCTCAGTCTACTTGGATAATTGAAGATGACACAGTTCCGGAATCATTTGAGTAGCTCTGTGTTGTACCTTTTCCAGGGTGTCTTTGGTCTTTTTGATGATAATGCCTTTGGTGTCATGTGCCTGGATCTTAAGAGGCACTAATGAGTCTTTAGTCCACGTTGTCTGTTATTGTTTCAAGGAACGTGAGTAAGTTTGTTAGGCAGGATTTTCTCCCCGTGCATGAAACCGTGTTGTGATGCGTTGAGAAGACTGGGTTTGGTCAGGTGATGGCGTCCCACAGAAGTTTCTCAGAGTTTGTATGTACGGGATGTTAGACTGACAGGCCTGTAGTTTCCTGTTGTACTTGATCTACTCTACTTGTATACTAGGGTGACATTGGCTGATTCCCAGTCCCTAGGAGATTTACCTTGATCCAAAGATTTCCTGAGTCTTAGTGGAGTGTGAATCTCATTTACCACGTCCTCTACCTCCTTTGAATTTTAGTGATTTATAAAGATTTTAAAAAAGAGTAAAGGTAGACTGAAAATCAATACATCAATTATATAAAATAATGTATTGTTATTCCCTCTAATTAATCATAAAAGCTCTTAAATTAGTAATGACCAAATACTCAAACCTATTTTCCTTGACCCCACACCAATATATTTACACTTATATGACGTCATTGCTCGCGTCCCAGCCACATCTTAACATATCTTCAACAGTACTTACAACTTAAGCACCAAACTTGCCCTAAACACTCCACGTTACTGTCCCATATACGCTTACACAAGGAACAGACCATTCCTTCTTCATTCTCACAGTAAAATTCTTAGATGCAACCAAACACACGCACAGGGTAGTCACCATCTTACACAACATCCTCGAATGATTGGACACTGACCACAACCACTACACTCAACCATCTTTATCATATGGCAGAATTATAACCAAGACTCACAAGGCGACCCACCAAGCTTATCACTGTCTCAGATCTAAGGAAAAGGTTGTCCCAGGTGGTAGAAAGGTTACCTGAAGTTATTAAAAAAAAGTATTAAGTACTCGTTCGCCAATAATAATAATAATAATAATAATAATAATAATAATAATAATAATAATAATAATAATAATAATAATAATAATAATAATAATAATAATAATAATAATAATAATAATAATAATAATAATAATAATAATAATAATAATAATAATAATAATAATAATAATAATAATAATAATAATAATAATAATAATTAATAATAATAATAATAATAATAATAATAATGGTGTGTCACAGTGAGACGCCCGACTTGTGGGACGCCGCCAGACAAACATCGAGGGACACCCGCCTTGGTATCCATTACGACAAAAGAGACACTCTACGTCTACAAGGACACCAGCAAGTGGGTATACTTCACTTGTACCGCTGTATCATTGTAACACCACATCTGTATGACGGTAAAACCACCACTGCATGACGGTAACACCACCACTGCATGACGGTAACACCACCACTGTAACACTATAATACCACCAAACCATTGTATCGCTGGGTAACACCACCACTGTAACACCACCTATGCATGGCAGTAACACAACCACTGTAACACTGTAATACCACCACTGTATCACTGTAACACCACCACTGTAATACCACCACTGTATCCTTGTAGCACCACCACTGTAATAACGCAAGAACTCATCACTGTAGCCAAGGAACAAAATAATCGGGTTCGAATCGCAAAACACGATGCAAAATATACCTAATTATTAACCTAAATTCTAAAGGAGTAACGTTCATTGTGAATATATATTTTCATCATCTAAGCAGATTTTAAATTAATTGCACATTGTTCTACAGCAGCCTGTAAAGCACTGTGTAAGATATGACCTTATTTGTAGCTAATCAGCAAAGTCTTATTAAAAATCTTGGTCCCTGGGCACTGCATCTCTTACCCCCCCGGCTGTAGAAGAGGCCTGGCAACTCGAATAAATCAGAGAAAGAAACTGTTTTGTGGTTATTTATGCTTAAGTCACAAATTTGAGCTGATATTGCAGGACGCCTTCTAGGACTCGCTATGCCAGTTAGTGATTGAGATATTGCTGTATATGTACCACCTGTATACTGGCAGCCCAAATAAAATACATCAATTGTTGGATCTTACTGAGACCATGGGGCAGCAAGTCAAGGAGGACACACACACGGCTGTGTAGAAATTTACCGCCAAGTCCCTGCGGCCTAATGTTGCTCCTTGTGGCCCTCATAAGTCAAGTGTCACTCAAGATATTGGTCGTTCATTGTGTTGATTTCTATCTTATTTACTGATACGATAATGGTCATAATAAGAGAGCATTTAAAGTTATGTTATCGTTTATCAGTTACCTAAATACCCGAGTATCGGTAATGAGGGCGCCACCGTCGTCTTCTCTCTAGAGTTATCAGTTACAGGCACAGTAATAGTTATTCTTTACAAACAATGGCCTTATTTACTCAAATAAAGAAGTTGGTAAATACTCAATATTATTGTTAACAAAACTACAGATTAGGATAATTAGTTTGTATTGTGACTAGCAGTACTGTTAATATATAGTTCTGACGACTCGCTTATTGTAACACTGTAACAATGATTCACTGTAACACTGAAAGAATAATTCCCCGCATGTAACACTGCAACAATTATTCACTGTAACACTGTAAGTATGATTCACTGTAGCACTGTAAGAAGAATTCACTGTAACACTGCATTACCAACACTGACTATGGTCTTACAGGAAACTGAGGGTGATGGAAGCCTCGCGTCGGCTCAACAAGTAACTGTCATCACCAGCCAAGTTTCTGGTGCCCAGGACCCCGTCACCAATCCCCTAGAGATCCCTGGGCTCTTCCGGGGCGCCAAGTTACCCAGGGGCATCGTGGTGAAGACGGTGGACGAGAGAGAGAAAGAGGAGAAGGAGACGGAGGAGAAGAAGTACGGTTCACACACGTTCTCAGACGGGCCCGTGCGAAGTGAAACATATTCCGTAGCTTCGAAACTTAAGCAAGACAAGGCCGTAGTAACTGAGGATATTTCGAATGTCACCCAGAAGACGGCTCTCTTTACAACTGAAACAGATCCGAGCTCGATTACGGCTCTAGATGGCGAGGAGATGACGTCCTCCAGTGAAGCAGCGAGTGAACTTTTGAACACAACAAGTGAATCTTCGACCACAACAAATGAATCTATGACCGCATCAAGTGAATCTTTGACCACAACAAATGAACCTTTGACCACAACAGATGAACCTTTGACCACAACAAATGAACCTTTGACCACAACAGATGAACCTTTGACCACAACAAGTGAACCTTTGACCACAACAAATGAACCTTTGACCACAACAGATGAACCTTTGACCACAACAGATGAACCTTTGGCCACAACAAATGAACCTTTGACCACAACAGATGAACCTTTGACCACAACAAGTGAATCTTTGACCACAACAGATGAACCTTTGGCCACAACAGATGAATCTTTGACCACAACAGATGAACCTTTGGCCACAACAAATGAACCTTTGACCACAACAGATGTACCCTTGACCACAACAAATGAACCTTTGACCACAACAAATGAACCTTTGACCACATCAAGTGAACCTTTGACCACAACAAATGAATCTATGACCACAACAAATGAATCTATGACCACATCAAGTGAATCTTTGACCACAACAGATGAACCTTTGACCACAACAAGTGAACCTTTGACCAAACCTTGACCACAACAAGTGAACCTTTGACCACAACAGATGAACCCTTGACCACAAATAAGTGAACCTTTGACCACAACAAGTGATACTACAACCACATCGAACAATATATCCACTAAATCAAGTACTATAACGACCACATCTACATATCCAACCACCACTACCACTCCACCACCACCACCCACCACCACCCCACCAACACCCACCACTACCACCACACCTTCGTCTTACGGAGTACTCACAACAGGTCAGGTGGTTGGCATCGCGATAGGCAGCGTGTTTGTGATCACTATGGTAGGTGGCGGGGCCTTGGTATGGTTTAAATTAGGTGAAAAGCTGTGTTGGGCGAGGAGACGAAACTAGGTGAAGGTGTCTTGATGCATCTGTGTTTCAGGAGTAGGTGGGTTAGATTACCTGTATTTTAGGTGAAGGTGGGTTAGATTACCTGTATTTTAGGTGATACAATCCCACCTAAGCAAAAATTATTCCACCAGGACAAAATCACCTACCTGGACAAAATCATCCCCCGAACAAAATCACCTATCTGGACAAAATTATTCCACAGCGACCAAAAGAAAATTAGATGAAGCGAGAGAAAGCAGATGAAAAAGTCGAAAGTAGACGATATATTAGTAGATAAAGAGGAGTAGGCAATAGATAAAGGGAGTAGAAAGTAGATAATGAGGAGTAGATAATAGATAAAGGGAGTAGATAGTAGAAGGTAGTGTTGTAAATTATTGTAAATGAATTGAGGTTTACTTCATCCATTAATTTACTGTACTATAATAGTTCTTGTAAATTTAATTGGTTGAAGTGTAAATCAAACTTAATTGTAAATCAGAATTAATTGTGTAATTCTAACTTATTCAAATAGGTGAATTAAATTTAAGTGTTGATAAGATTGTAAATTGAGATTAATTAATTGTAAATCAAATTAACTAACTGTAAATCAACATTGTTTTTATTGTTAATTTATTTACTTGAAAAACAATAATTAATATGTTAGTTTAAATTAGAGATAATTATATTAAAATACTCTAATTTATTGTAAATACACATTGTACTAATCCTTTGTTAAATATATCTTATTATAATATACTGTAGTTTGTATAACTTTTTGCAAATGTGTACAGTATATAAATATTTCTAATATATACTATACAGGATTCTATACAAATTAATATATTATTGTTTACCCTAAAACTTTCTTTGCGATATTACACATTTTATGTTGACAAGGAGAAAATTTTATAATATTAATGGGTAACTCTTTTATTAAACTCTCTCTCTCTCTCTCTCTCTCTCTCTTGTTCTGGCGTCAGCTAAGTGAGCCTCATTATCAGTTCCTTGTGAAGATAAGGGCAACGTTATCTATGCAGTGTAGTATGTCTGATGTTGCTGGACACTTACCTCACGGAAAGTACTCGTCTTTATGTGGAAATTACATAGTCAAGAGAAAGTAACATCAAGAGAGGAAGCAAATATACAGACAGACAGACAGACAGACAGAGACACACGTACAGAGAGAGAGAGAGAGAGAGAGAGAGAGAGAGAGAGAGAGAGAGAGAGAGAGAGAGAGAGAGATAGAGGACGAGAGAGAAAGAGAGAAAGACAGAGGGAGGGAGGGAGAGAGATATATACAGAGAGAGAGAGAGAGAGAGAAAGAGAGAGAGATTCTTACGACAACAAAGATGGCGGCTCATCTGGGGACATTAAAGTGCTATTGTTTTTTCATCTATCAACAACTATCCAGTGTTTGTGTGTCATTTACGATAAGTTGCAAAGGCCTCAACACCTTCGTCACTTATACCAGTAATAATAATGATAATAATGATGATAATAATAATACATCCATTTTTTTTTCAATCAATATTTTGTTAGATATTACTCTCTCACTCTCTCTCTCTCTACAGATGACATATTGAAATGTAACAGTTTATTTAGCCAGAAAAACACAGATACAGAGTGGATAATAATAACAATATTAACATGGTTGACCCAGTTGAGAACCTGAGCTCTCTTTGAGGCACCTGATATATACTATACATTTATCTCAAGGAAGTATTATGAAACATTTAGTATCATCTGGAATAGTACAATAGCATGGTAGTAATAAGTACATTATAAAATACATCATGCAGGTAGTAACGTTGTGTGTGTGTGTGTCGCAAGGTTTTCGTTATCAATATCACTAGTGACGTTAATGGTGATAAGGGCATCAGTGTGTGAGGGTACTTTGACTACCATCCCAGCCACACTTCAGTCAGTTACCACCCGTCGTACTCAGCACACGACCCTGCCTGTCAAAGTGAGTGTACTACACTTTCAGTACACACACACACACACACACCTAACACACACACACACACACACACACACACACCTAACACACACATACACACACACACACCTGACACACGATTTGGTCTGAAAGTTGAGCCAATTGTATATGGTGCAAATCCAATGGCCCGACAGTGTTCATATGGTACCTTAGATTAGTACCAATGGCCCGACAGTGTTCATATGGTACCTTAGATTAGTACCAATGGCCCGACAGTGTTCATATGGTACCTTAGATTAGTTCCAATGGCCCGACAGTGTTCATATGGTACCTTAGATTAGTACCAATGGCCCGACAGTGTTCATATGGTACCTTAGATTAGTACCAATGGCCCGACAGTGTTCATATGGTACCTTAGATTAGTACCAATGGCCCGACAGTGTTCATATGGTACCTTAGATTAGTACCAATGGCCCGACAGTGTTCATATGGTACCTTAGATTAGTACCAATGGCCCGACAGTGTTCATATGGTACCTTAGATTAGTACCAATGGCCCGACAGTGTTCATATGGTACCTTAGATTAGTACCAATGGCCCGACAGTGTTCATATGGTACCTTAGATTAGTACCAATGGCCCGACAGTGTTCATATGGTACCTTAGATTACTACCAATGGCCCGACAGTGTTCATAATTATGAGGGTTGTAAATTAAATAAGTGATGACTTAACCCCTTGAGTACGATGACGTAACCCTTGAGTACGATGACTTAACCCCTTGAGTACAATGGAATTAACCCATTGAGTACGATGACTTAACCCTTGAGTACGATGACTTAACCCCATACGATGACTTAACCCCTTGAGTGCGATGAGACTTAACCCTTGAGTACGATGACTTAACCCCAATGACTTAACCCCTTGAGTACGATGACGTAACCCTTGAGTACGATGACTTAACCCCTTGAGTACAATGGAATTAACCCATTGAGTACGATGACTTAACCCTTGAGTACGATGACTTAACCCCTTGAGTACAATGACTTAACCCCTTGAGTGCGATGACTTTTTTAGTACAATGAATTAACCCTTTGTGTATGATGTCTTAACTCAGCTCTCTCTCTCTGTAATGCACTTTCAGCTCATCGAATACTGTAACCAAATGAGAGAGAGAGAGAGAGAGAGAGAGAGAGAGAGAGAGAGAGAGAGAGAGATATATACAATATATAACCGAACTAACATTTCTGTCATATACCTTCAGGGGGTGACCACCAGAGTAACAGCTAACTTAACAACCTAGCCTAACCCAAGGGCGTCAACATGAAGTACTTGGTGATTGTCTGTCTGTGTGTAGCAGGCATTTCTTCCGCCGCCTGGGTAAGTTAATAATAATAATATTAAACTTTCTACTTGTTATTTTGTTCACATTTAATATTTTCTACTATACTTTCTAAACCGAGAGAGTCAAAGATATAATCATACTATATAAAGAGAAAGATATAGAGAGAGAGAGTGAGAGAAAGAGAGAGAAAGAGAGATAGTGTTGTTTTATCAATTGCACCATCTACCTGTTGGCAGATTTCACCCCTAGCCAGTGTAAATGATGCCGAAGGTGTGATACAAGAGGAATGGCTGTACAATGAAGTTGAAGATAAGGACGCACCAAGTATTGACACTACTGAAGGAAGCACTTCCACTACTGAAGGAAGCACTACCACTACTGAAGGAAGCACTACCACTACTGAAGAAAGCATTAGCACTACTGAAGAAAGCATTAGCACTACTGAAGAAAGCTCTACCACTACTGAAGGAAGCATTACCACTAATGAAGGAAGCTCTACCACTACATATGAAAGCAGTGCCTCTAGTGAAGACATTAGCACTACTGGTAAGAATGGGTCTTCTAGTGTTACTCTTAATTGTGTTCCCTAATGGGTAGTTAATGAGCATGTATGGGTAGTTAATGAGCATATATGGGTAGTTAATGAGCATATATGGGTAGTTAATGGATAACTAATGGCTGTTTCTCTCCCCCAGAAATCACCACCACTACAACCCTACCACGTATGTACCAACCTAACCTAACCTAATCCATTTCTTCTATTAGCTTGTAACCTCTTTGAACTAGCCAATAAGATACCACATCTCTCCCCTATCCTCCCCTAAACTAACCAATGAGAGGCCCCATCACCCTCCTATCCTCCCCTGAGCTAGCCAATAAGAGGCCCCATAACCCTCCTATTCCCTGAACTAGCCAATAAGAGGCCCCATAACCCTCCTATCCTCCCCTGAACTAGCCAATAAGAGGCCCCATAACCCTCCTATTCCCTGAACTAGCCAATAAGAGGCCCCATAACCCTCCTATTCCCTGAACTAGCCAATAAGAGGCCCCATAACCCTCCTATTCCCTGAACTAGCCAATAAGAGGCCCCATAACCCTCCTCCTCCCCTGATCCCCTGAACTAGCCAATAAGAGGCCCCATAACCCTCCTATTCCCCTGAACTAGCCAACAAGAGGCCCCATAACCCTCCTATTCCCTGAACTAGCCAATAAGAGGCCCATAACCCTCCTATTCCCTGAACTAGCCAATAAGAGGCCCCATAACCCTCCTATTCCCTGAACTAGCCAATAAGAGGCTCATAACCCTCCCATTCCCTGAACTACCCCCATAACCCTCCTATTCCCCTGAACTAGCCAATAAGAGGCCCCATAACCCTCCTATTCCCTGAACTAGCAATAAGAGGCCCCATAACCTCCTATTCCCTGAACTAGCCAATAAGAGGCCCCATAACCCTCCTATTCCCTGAACTAGCCAATAAGAGGCCCCATAACCCTCCTATTCCCTGAACTAGCCAATAAGAGGTCCCATAACCCTCCTATTCCCTGAACTAGCCAATAAGAGGCCCCATAACCCTCCTATTCCCTGAACTAGCCAATAAGAGTGTCTTTTCTCCCTCAGCTGGTCTGTCTGACGGAGCAATTGCCGGTATTGTGATTGGATCTATCGCTGCCGCTGTTCTTCTGGCTGGAGGGATATATTTCATGAAGATTAAAGGGATGGCTTGTTTTGGCTAAGTGACTGACCGGCTGACTGACTCATTTGACGACTGACTCACTTGACGACTGACTCACTTGACGACGACTGACTCACTTGACGACGACTGACTCACTTGACGACGACTGACTCACTTGACGACGACTGACTCACTTGACGACTGACTCACTTGACGACTGACCCGCTGATTGATTGATTGATTTATGAAGCCTCCTCCTCGTCTGCCTCCTCGTCGTCTGAAACCTCCACCACCACCACCACCTCCTCCTCCTCCTCCTCCTCCTCCTCGTCTGAAACCCCCTCCTCCTCCTCCTCGTCGTCTGAAACCTCCACCACCACCTCCTCCTCCTCCTCCTCCTCCTCGTCGTCTGAAACACTGTCTATCTGAAATACTTGATGAAAAATAAAATTACTTAACCATTCCACTCGCCTCTTGTATACTTAATGCATACGTGTACAACCCTGATCATTTAGTACACAGCTGCACCAACCTATGGCACAGGTACAGTACACATTGTAGTACAACTGTGTGCACCACTGTACTTAACCTTGTTGATTTCGTTGATGTCACTGGTAGCAAGTTGGTCAATTCTTTCATTAATTTGTCAATACACATTAAAGGAAAACTGTGTGACTTAAGAAAACATTGATAATTTGACGAAATATTTTTTGTCTTCCTTATTT